TAGGAATGTTCTTCCTTTAGATTCTTAACCAGCTACCACTTGTTGATTTCAGACAGATCTTCTCTACAGCAGCATCCATTGTTAAAAAAAAAAAAAAGAACTGCAGCATGTTGTTCATCTGTGGCAGCAGTATAAAATGCAGCACTGCTCATGCTGTTGGCAGAACAAAAGGACATACGCTCCAACACTGCCACAGATCAAGTGCGTTTGTGTTGTATTTTCTATTCATCCAGACACAGACACTTCTCAAACTGTGAGTGAACAGTACACACATTGATGACTGTCGCAGTAAGTTAGTACATCAGAGTGAGGCCTGACTGTGGCCTGTTATTGTTACTCTATTGACTCACCACAATGATGGTGATGAGATGAGCCTGACCCCACTGTTACTGTTGTTCTCTGAAACAAGTGATGCTCTCTCTGGTTTTTGACTGTCTCACATTCAGCTGGGGTTACAGTCTCTACCCAACTTGAATTGTTTGATTCTAGAAAACATAATATTTTGTTTTTATGGGGAATTTTTCACAATATCTTAACAAAGTTATTGGTTTTTATTATGCAGAAAGCATTAGATGATATAATGATATTTATTTACATATTACTGTCCAAAACTGGCCAGCTGTGTGTCTTCTTGCTTGTGAGCAAAAGAAATATGTAAAAGTTGAGGTCTTGAGGTTTTTCAATTCACAAAACTGCAGCTAAGGGGAATAAACTTTTAACAGTTGAATACAACATATGTAATTGATAATTTCATTATTTAATTTTAGAAAATAATAAGAGTCCAAGGAACACAAGGTTTCACAGAGTCAAATATAATGTGAATGAAATGAAAGTGGTGCATCTACAAAGGAAAAATGGCCAGTTATCGTCACACCTATTCAAATTGTAATAATTGAGATTTCAAAATCCATGTAAATTACAAATGACCTGCATCTATTAACTGTATGTATTATTCATTAGTTTGCCTTGTTTAAATCCAATTCATTTAGATATTAACATTATCTGCACAATTAGATGTGATTAAAACAGTAAGATGTAAATGTATTCGGACGCACAAAGTCTGCACATTAAATCATGCTGACACCTCATTAACTTATCAAGGGTGCATAGAAATGTTTAACAGTCATTCAAAGCAAAACGCTGCAGAAATAAAGTTAGACAACTTTATCTTTAAATTACATTCAATGCTTACAAATGTGTTTTTTGTTTTTTTTCTGATGGCTCATCGGTTGTCCTCGGGTGTTTTCTATTCTGCTGTTCATCGTGCATTTTTATTGCCATCCAAACTTCTGACTGTCATTGGCAAACTAAATACTCCCACTCAGATATTTAGACCCATTCAAATGTACCACTGCTGACAGTGCCTTGGGGATTCTCCTCATGCTTTGCAACTGGGAGTGAAAATTTTGTGACCCTTGTTAAATTCATTGTTTATGTCTACGCAAATGTACAATAAATTCAGTGAAATTATCTGCCGACCAAAAATAGTGATGCTTGCAGATTATTGTGGTCACAGATTATGTCAAGTCGTCGTGGCATCAATGCTATATTTAAGACAGTCTGAAACCCAAATGATTCTGGCTTCTTCCCTCTAACATTTTACCTTAAGACAGAAAGGTCTTGGATGATTTAGTGCTGCATCGATTTATTTGATATGTATGAATGGCTGAGAGTCCATAATGGATGGGTTGATGTGACAATGATGTAAATAACTTTACAGAAGCTTCTCATATTGGCACACTTGACTCAGTCTGCCTCTCCGAGACACTGTTTGTGGTGAAAATGGCTGCGATAACAGAAGACATTCTTTTTAAAGCATGCTGAGCTTCAAAAACATTGCCTTTTATCAGGGGACCTCCCATTCCTATGATTCAAACTCTGAGACACCTTCACTTTCATCTCATCTCTCTCTGCTGAGGTGAATACAAAACAGTGCTTGGCTTGTGTGCTGCTGCTGTAAACCGACTGTTGGATGATTTATCTTGTTATTTTCTTCGTGTGAGGGATTTGTGTCTGTTCAAAGTCTGAGCACTGTGTCAGTTTATCTATTATCTATTGCCAGTTTATCTTTTGTATAATTTTCCAAATATAGGAACAGAAATAGAATATCTGTGTTTTCTTAACACTGCAGATGTGGGATGGAGCAGGGCTTAGTAAAAGCTAGCTCATTATATGGTGCTTTGTGGACTGGATGTACCTTCAGGGATGCAGTATGAGCTGGCATACTGGAAAGACTAAGGTAAACTTTCAGACATGAGAAGGCTTAGTGAGCTTGTCCTTACAAAAATAAGAAAAAGTATAAGATTATGGTCCGTATGTATCTGTGGTTTATCAACAGTGAGGAGAACATATTATTTAATCTTAGACGGGAGAGTGGTTGAAAAAAGCCTTATTGCTTTGCTGATTCTTTGACTTCTCTTCCAAAACCATCATCAGGTTAACGTTTTTATATCTTTGTTACACTATTGCACTGCAACATACTCTCTTTACACATCAAATACTGAAGCCTATTGGATCTGCAGCAAATATTTTGCACGTAAAAAACTGTAATATGGACATTAAAACTTAGAAATTCTTAGAAATACAAAATGCACATAAATGTGGCAGCTATGGGATTGGTACTCAAATATTGCAGCAATGGACCAATAATATATCACTTAATTTCATATTACACAATGCAGTTGCTTTGTCTGCACTAATTAAGATTCACCCAGTGACATGTCGGAAAAACTTGAGGTGGCTTCACGTGGATGGGAGCGCGGCCCATTCTTCGGGTGTTTTTGCTTACAGTTATTTGGCCATTTATGGGCATTTATAGAATGTGTACAGAATATTACACTTTCATCTCCAGATGGAAAGGTAGTCATTAGCTATGGAGACATGCAGGCAAAAGTAACTCCCTTGGCTCTGGAACAGCACCAATATGCATCTACACATATTGCTGCTGTTTTCCAAATGTTCAAGGTTGGAAAACTTAATGTTTCAAAAAACTTTTAGTTTTTTTTCTTCCATTTAGACTAAGTTTACATATTTTTATGTAAACTACTTGTCTACTTTTGAGAAATATTTTGACAACAGAATTCATTATGAATCCACAAAACCTAAAACAAAACAACAAAAATACTAGTCAATACAATTTTGTTAAATGTGTTACAGACTCATTGAGCCTGATCATGAAACGTGAGAATTGTGTTAAATTTAGTTCTCTTTGGCTTAAACACCAGCATTTATCTGCTGATCAAGAAACCACATTCACAAATACAATTCTTCAGTTATTTCGATTTTGTTATTAAAACATTTGTCTATTGTCCCCCATTGGTGTTTCTGTTTAGCGGAGATCTGATGAGTTCAAAATCCTCTGGATGCATAATTCACAAGACCAATAAGCCATTCATTAATTTCCCGTGCTGTGTGGATAGAAGAATTCATCATTTTTGTATACTTTGTATCATTTAGTTTAACTTGCGGCTGCTCAACTGGACAAAAAAAAAATCTAAATAAATTATGGGCAATAGTCTTAGTTTGAGACTTCACCACTTATTTGTTCTACTTTAAAAAATGCAAATGTTAATTTTTGTCAAATCCTGATTTTGTCTCTTGATTTTTCTCAAACATTTTACGTTGTAGACATGTTCCCCTACTGAATGTAAAGCAAATCATTGCTTATATATTTGCATATATAAAGCTTCAACAGTTCAATCACAAAATATTCAATTGCTTGTGTCTATCAATTTTGTTGAAAATAAATAAATACTTCAGTCATACAGGATAGCAAGGTTTTTGTGACATTAGGTGTAAAAATAATCTACCCTCAGCCATTTAAATAAGTTTATTGATGGAACCAATACAACATCTCAGTGAAAAACACTTATCTGAGATTTAGTAGATCACATCGATATATAAACATATTCTCAGACATGCTGTGTTACATGTAATGATGTATATTTCATCAGATATATTTTCAGCATCACTAAAACCACAAGGAAAGCTGAAGGTGGTAAAATAACTTTAATAGTAATGCAATGTTTGTGTGAATATGTTTTTTTGTAATCATTTGGACCAAAAAAATATTCTAAATTAATGTCATCAACCAAGCATGTCTGTTTTTCTTCAAGCTGTCAAACACTGGTATGTCTGAGTTAAAGCTGATGTTTATTTGAAATATATGCATGACTGTGTGTAGCCCACGATCCTCTAAGCACAACTGCCATGACTACAGATGAGATTCAACTTATGTGAACCATCTGCCTTGTCATTGTTTTGTTTTTTTCAATGTCAGAGACATAATATCCCCTGTCTCCGCCGTTTGGTGTCAGATTTCATCTACAAATTGTTCTGACTGCACTGCAAATTACCACAGAGCACTAATTATTAATCACTACTTGTTCAACCAGTACGCCTTAGAGATAATTTGAAACTATAATGTTGACTGAGAGTCTAATCAGAATTTGATAGGATTCACTATTTACTATCTATGTTTATATTTAGTTTATGGTCCAACTGTGAAATTAGGAAAACACCAAGAAAATTATTACATACTACAGTCAATCCAATAACCGCAAGATCAGCAGATTTGAACAAAACCACAATTCCCATAGTAAATCCATATGTTTACACCAAGACCAAATTTACAGAATGAAAATGAAAAAGGTCACCTGTGAAAGGTGACCTTTTACTTGAACCTGGACTTGGCAGACTGCAGTTTCCCATGAGACAAAGCGATTGCTCGAGATGCAATCCTTGATTTAATTTCTTGACATAATATTCGCAGGCAGTGTGCTTCCAATGATGGTGCTGAATTACAATCACACCGTCTTCATTTCAGAGCCCCTCTTGGTGGCTCACATTCATCTCAGACAGCTGAAGAAATCTTGGGATGTAGCGACAGACTCTCTCGGCTGTAGGCGCTAAGAAAACTTGTTGTTCGTCAAACAATAATCGTGTTTTATTGTCATTTGCAAATTATATTGATAGAAATTTGCATTTTCTCCGTTGTTCAGGTACGACCCGTCCCCCTCGAGACGGAGAGGTTCCAGGGTTGGATTACAACTTTTTGTCTGTGGAGGACTTCCTACAACTGGAGGAGAGTGGCACACTACTGGAAGTAGGAACATATGATGGTAAGGAGAACGATGACAAAAATCAAAAGTGGCAGTTCATGTGACTCATGATAGAGCAGGTGTCCTTATTCACTACAGATCGGGCGAGCATAGCAGCCATCATATTTGGTTTTTTGCTGCATGTAGGCAGGCTGTAAGACAGTGTATTCAGTTGATTCTGATTAGACCGTGCATGATGGGAGGGGGGGATTCATCCAGGAGACAGCAGGTCTCTCCACATCTGCCCCTCTCACTCTGATTAGGACAGCGTTGTGCAAGACTAAGTCTCAGACTGACACAAACCTGTGTGTGTAAAACATGTGGATGGCTGATTGTTTGTTGGGCTTTGCCTTATGCACTGCTAAGTCAGACTTGTGTGTTTGTGTGTGTGCGTGTGAGAGAGCGAGAGAGAGAATGTTACAACATTAATCTGCTTGGCACTGGCTCTGCTGTGTGTTGGCACGTTACTCTCTTTCACACAGACAATGTCAAATACCTGTCCACAGGAGTCTGTGGCACACCACATATCAGCAGGCGGGACCAGTACAACAGATCTTTGATAGTCAAAGACTATCAGAGTACATATATCGATGTATATACATATGTATGTATGTATGTATGTATGTATGTATGTATGTATGTATGTATGTATGTATGTAGGTATGTATGTATGTATGTAGGTACGTATGTACGTAGGTACGTAGGTACCCATTTTGTAACACCCTTGTTGGGAGGTGCTGCTGCCCATCTCCAGCTAACTTTCTGGGTGAGAGGCGGGGTACACCCTGGACAGATCGCCAGTCTGTCGCAGGGCAACACGGAGAGAAACAACCATGCACACACACTCACACCTGGGGAGAATTTAGAAAGACCAATTAACCTGACAGTCATGTTTTTGGCCTGTGGGAGGAAGCCGGAGTAACCAGAGAGAGAGCCACGGTGCAACCCCTATGTATGTATATGTGTGTATACATATATATATTCCTTTGGTTTGTTATTTTGTTTGTATTTCCTTTTAATTCCTGTAAAGCACTCTGTATTGCCTTTTTGCTGAAAATGCACTGCATAAATAAAACTACATTTATCTTTACCTTTTATATGGCTCTATTCATATGTTTTTGGGAACAGATGCACCAAAGCTTTTTAGGTGTTGGCCATCTATCGGTCTGTGTAGCTTTGCACAAAAACATTGCTGAAATAATTGTGCTTGTCTTGCAAAATCTACCCTAAAATTAGCATTGCATATTATACTTTATCAGGTGTTTTTTTATTTTTTATTTTTGACCTGGGGGAGTTTAATCCTGCTGAATAGAGTCAGTGGTCTTAGTCAGTAAAGTAACAACACAGAGAGAAGCGAATGGTGATAAACCAAGACCAAATTTACAAACATCTTGTAGGTTCTATGTGCAAGTTATCGTAAAAACTAATTTGGCTTTAACTAAATTAGGAAAGACATTAATAAACAGTGATCAGTATAAGCAAATATAATTCTACCTCAGAGTCAATGAAGGGACTCAATTTAATATTGAAATGACAGCCAGCGTTTAAAACGCAATTCATGTATGGTCAAACATTAATACGAATACTGAAAATTGCTGTCCTGGAGGATCTTAGTCATAAAAATCTGAAGTAGTTGTGGGTAATAAGTGCAGTGACACTCCAACAAAATGGACAAATATTAAGTTGGATTAGAAAATATTTATTTCAGTCATTAGAGACGTGGCTTGGAATTTGAGTAAATTACTTGTAAATATCTCTGGCCTGGCCTATGCAACCATCATGTCATCCATCTAGAGATGTGTGAAGGATCAAAGTGGCTGAAACATGTTGACTACTTTCCTCTGAGTAAATTATAAATTAGCAGGATTTCCTCTTTGAAGTTTGCACACATGGCTGCTTGCATGAAAGGACAAACATGCATGGTTGAGGCAGTCTGTTCATTCATAAAATGTGTAAGATGATAATAATAATAATAATAATAATAATAATAATCAAGCAAAATATTGTTAGTTGAACCACAATGCTTTCAGTGTTTTCATAGTACAGACATAACACAGACGGGAACACTCTGGGTTTCTCACCAGCTGCTTATTTCTCGAGATTGTAGGCACACTGTAGTCCGGCTTCATGTCTCTTACTTTCCACACAAGATTATGTGCAGATTCCCTGGCTGCTTTTTCTTTGTCCCCCTGCACTGCCTGTTTTTATCCCTGCCTTCTTCTCTTCATTCCCTTCTCTCTCCCTCTCCATCTCTCAAGCATGCTAATGTCCTCCTTGTTGCCTAGGTAACTATTATGGGACCCCAAAGCCTCCAAGGCAGCCCATCATTGGGACAGTGACTCTCAGTGATGCGGGTTCCCATCCGTCTACCCCGAAGCGCACCAAGTCCTACCATGACATGCAAAAAGTCCATGTAGTGCCTGCTGACGATGACGATGACGACCAGGCCACGGAAATGAACAACAGTTTTACAGGTGAGGGCATTGCTGCGCCCCTCCTGTCTCTCTGTGTTTGGCTCTCTTGGTCTTTGCATGTGTAGTGTTCTCTGTCTCTGCTCAGTTTCCTAAACAACTCGTGCTTCTTTTGGGATCTCCTGTAAGTGCATATATGCAAGAACATGATAAGGACTGCAGAAGAAGAGTGTTGGTGTTTGTACAGTTGTGGTTTGTTCCTCTGTTGTAAGACTATGGATGTCTGGCAGTTACATCATGTTTTTGTGATGAAGAATCTTTTCCTCCCAACACTGCCATCTGCCTGTGAGGAGGTTGTGGTGGAGATGAATTCCACCCCACATCACTCACATCCTTATTTATTTTGATTTATTTCTGCCTCAACCTTTATGTTCTTCTAAATTCTACTCAATAAGTTTACTAAATGTGTTGCATTTCTGCATCTGGCAACAGAAGAGTTTTTAATGTCTAATGTTTTAAAAAAAACTTTCAAACAATTTAAAAGATAACTGCTAAAAATTACGTTTTCAACTTTTTTTTTTTTTTTTTTGCATTTTATGACATTACAACCACAAAATGGTTTGTGTTTATTGGGATTTTATGTGACAGACAACACCAAGTATTAAGTTTGTTTGCCAATGCAATTCATATGAATGTATTCAGCAAATGAAATTTATTAAGTTTTTACATGTAGAAAATATTATCTTCACTTCATAATTATACTCTCCTTTGTTTGATAGTACATTACATAAAATTCCCGTCTTAAATTTGTCAATGTAATGAGAAGAAAATAGAAAAAAGACCAACGGGTATAAACACTCTTGCAAACGACTGTATTTCACATGCTTGTCTTCAACCTGTTTGGAGTGTGAGTGACATCTGCTTTTATTTTCTTTCTTCTTTGATGCTTTAAATCTTTTCACTCAGTTTATCCCCTGCCAGGCTGCCTGCGTTGCATTTGCATTTGAGCAGCCAGTGAAAGGCCTGGAGAAGTGTCGGAGTTGATCTAGGCAAAATGGGGAAAGCAAGTGGGAAGAGGGGTTGGTCTAGCCTAAATAGAAAAACACTTTCTGCTGGGGAGGTAAAATGGGTGGGGGTCAAATTGAGTTAGGGACCTTTGCTGTAAGAATTAACATATCCTGTTACCCCTTTACTTACACTAGTAATAAGCTAGAGGTAAACTGGGGGAAGGGAATTTCTGGGAGTTTGATGTGACTGAAGTTGCATGAAATTAGTGAGCATGTCTGTTTCTTCCATCTTGCATGCACAAAACAAACTATGATTTTTTTTTCTCCTGTTTCTCTTGTTCCATGTCGTGCTCATTGTGTCACCCAGGATCCTTAGTGCGTAGTCTGTTCCCTTCTCCTTTGTTGTGCACAGGTAACCCTAACGACCAGGACGAGAGCCGCAGCGGCATCCTCCGGCCGTACCCCGTGCGTGAGAATCCTCTACCCTGTGGTCTGAACAATGCAGCCACTTCTACTGCAGAGAGCGGGCAGCAGACGCTTGCAGAGCCCCAAGTCTCTCCAGAGGACCCTCTGGGACCGCTGCCCGAAAACTGGGAGATGGCCTACACAGAGAACGGGGAACTGTACTTCATAGAGTATGTATCCACATCTTGAACTGTTTAAAAGTTGTCTATTGAACACAGCCTTGGCAGTGCCTGAGTAAGTCTTTCTCTTTTTAGACTCTGCTGTATGTGTTTGCACTCTGTTTTATTTCCACTTTTGCTGCTTTTGTTGGCCTATTGGTCTATCTTTCACAATGATTTGGTTTGTCGGCCTGCCCAGCCTCCTGGGCGCAACCGCTTTCCTGTTAATCCCTGCATGTCCCGATCTCAAAAGAAGATCACATCCTAATTACCTGACTACCTCCACCTCTCTGTCCTCTGCAGCACGGCAAAGACTCTCCACCAGGACATGGCTGTGTGTTTTCAGAGCTTGTATGTTCATTTCTGCTATCACCAAATTACAATTTGTTTTCACCTAGCAATAGAGACAAAAAATCAGGTTGTTTATGGTTTCCTTAACGGTGTCCCCAATGTCCTTCCGTGTTTGCAGCAGGCGGCGTCTGTCTTCTGCAAACTTGCTGACATATTTTCTTTTTTGTCTAATTTTTATTGATGTTCAGGTGCCCCTGCTGTGCTTTGATATGATAGATTGTCTGCTTCCTGCTGAATTATTGCGTTGTTGTTTATTTCCTCTCAGCCACAACACAAAGACCACATCCTGGCTGGATCCTCGGTGTAGAGACAAAGCCCCACGGCCTCTGGAAGAGTGTGATGATGATGGTAAGTCTCCAGACATTATTTAGAGCATTAGATTGTATATGCACATTTCTCTGTAGTGGTTTACAGACATTATGGGCTCTCAGTCATAGGCCTCCTCTTGTGTTTTGAGTGATGCCATTGTTGATTTCTAATAAAGTTTTTGAGCATATGATTTGGTTTCTTTTGCAACATTTCATGTGCTGGGAATTTGTCACAGATTTTTCATGAGGCTACTGTCATTGTAACTGACATATTCCTTCATAATAATGAAGAAATGCTTTATGAAATCCAAATGACACTCAAGTTATGTTGTGAAATTGCACCATCAAGTGGTGAAATAAAAAGGAAACACTGCACTTTAGGTTGCGAAAAGGCTGCTGTAATATTTTAGATTAACCCAATTTCTGAGGGTCTCCTATTCCCCTGCTTTTCTTTCTCTGGATTGTCACTTCATTCCTTATTTGCTCTCAATTCCTCCATTCCTAACCAACTTTTTTTCCTGCCATACATACCTTTTTCTATTCATCTTTTTTTTTTCCATCTGTGTTTCATCCTGCTTTCAATATTGGAGAAGAAGGGATACATACGGAAGACCTGGAGAGTGATCTAGGTACGGTTTTATGATTTTGTGTTTAAACTGTAAAATATTACACATATTTTCCATATTCAGGTAGATAAAATAGAAAAATCTCAGTCATCAAAACGCTGTCTTTTTTGTAATCTGTTATTCCTGTATGTGTTTTTGTTCTTCGAGAGATTGTTTTGACATATAAACTTCACATATAATGTACATTTGTGTTTTATTGATTATGTCTTTGTTGTATTAATGCGTATTGTAATAAATCTTTTCATATAAATGAAAAAACTACCTAAGTTACCTTAAATATTGCCACAATTGTAAGGAAACAGTAGGGTGAACATCTGTTTAGAAGCTGCATTTATGGAAAAACTGCACATTTTTGCATATTCTGCAACTGATTGTTGTTTGGTGGTGTTTATAGGATTAGAATATGGATGTTTGAAGAAACAAAGCTCATTGACAAATGACCAGGTTATGCATTTAACAAGTATTAGCATCACTAGAAGACAACAGTTGTGTGCAGTGTCCAGTTCACAGTCAATTTTAGTTTCTAATTTAATTTGACAAAAAAAACTAAAAACATTTTCCAGTACAAGGGAACCCAACTGGTTGCATCGTGTCATTGATGTGAAGTATTCACTCCTTCTGGACAACCATATAATGACAGCATACATTCGGTTGCACTGTTGTGGACTTTAAAGTAATCCTTCATACTGTGCATGCATGAAGTGACAGTAGAGAAGAGAAATTCCACTTTAATAGAAAAAAAAACCTGGCTCAGTACGATCAGCCATCTGCCACAACCAACTGGTGATTTGAAAAAAACAAAGCAGAATGTGCAAAATAGAAACATAAAAACTACCACAGGACTACTTATAATAATAAAAAGTGAATAGTTACTAGCAGCAGAGGGCGAGCATTTAGCTGTTGGCAGTATTGTCTCAGTCAATGGCTCCCTCTAGGATGGTGTTACAGCTAAACAGAACCTCAGACCAGATGTAGAAAGTCACAAGTCATCCAATGTGGTTGAGTTGATTTGTCTTGCACAAACAGCGTGCTCAATTTGATCCCAGGAGTGGTCAGCATGGTGGAAGTCAGGACTGCAGGAAGACCGTTTCATCCTCCCCACTCCCAAATTCTGGAGGATCTTTCCAATAAATACTGAGCCATAGAGGCAGCCATCGGGAACTTAATAGATTTAGTTCAGTTACTGAGAATAGAGCCAATCATTGCTGCTGATTACAGAATCTCATCTTGATATTTATCTGCATTGAAATTTTCTCCTTCCCTGTCTTATTAAAAGAGAGGGAGATTCCATCCCACACATCCCACTCCTCAACCAAAAGCTGTGTTTGGATTTGACAGAAAATATTTTAAAAATTATTTATTTATTTATTTTTAAAAGACTCAACACACACGCTCAAACCTGCTACTTAAAGTACAAATGGATATATATATATATATATACCATTATATATATATATATATATATATATATATATATATATATATATATATACAAATACAGATTTCCTTACTTGATGTACTAAATTTATGTATTATTTTGAATCATCTGGTGGGGCCACAGATACAATAGTTATAAGTATGGTCTATACCAGGGGTAAACTTGAACAGCTGGTCGGGTCAATGTGCTCTAATGAGAAAGACTGAGGGAAAAAATGGGAATAAATTAACCTTTCAGGAAATTTTAGGATCAGAGGTTTATAATTTGAATGAATGTTACATTGATGTCAGACTTTTGATGACTGATTTGCACAAACATTCTTTCAGCAGAATCTTAAAACAACACAACACTGAAGTTGTTAAAAAAATACAATTAGTTTTAAACAAGTTTAATTCATTCTGGTTGTGATTAAAACCACAGAATCTGAAAAATTGTACAAGTGAGCTCACATATTTTCCTACATCCTCACCAATTTTTGGTTTTATGTTCCTTGGAAAGATGCACTTCAAGTTTTAAACCTACTAAGTAACTACTGGCACAATTCCAGCTGAACATTTCACACATCTTTTAAGCATAGTTTAAAATGCCACATTCAAAATGAAGGATGCTTACACTGAAAAGAAAGCAACTCTTCTATAATTTGTCCAGCTCTTTATTTGCACTGCGATAATTATGCCTATGTAAAATACCTTTTTTATCTCTCTATTTTTTGTAAAATTTTGGTTTAAAGTAATGTAGCCATAAAGATCATAATGGTTCTTAAACAAACTGAGTGTACTTTCACTAAACTAATAAAAATAAAACATGGATCCATTAAAAGTTGTAAGAGTTCTTGGCATCCAATCTGTTCTTGCTATAATCCCATAAAATGCAGTAGTAAAATGGATATAGAGTAAGTTGTTGTTGTTGGTTGTAATTTTGAGAACATATTTTGGACTACTTTAATAAAATAGCATGTTCTGAGAAACTAAGCAGGAAGCAGAAAAAAACAAAGAAAGATCACTGCACCCCAACCACTGGTCTTATCTCATCTGTGCTAATGACTGAGATAGGAGTGTTGATGTTTAATGCTGTGTGCTCTCTGTATTCCAGAGCTGCCTCCAGGATGGGAGAGAATAGATGACCCAGTGTATGGAGTGTATTATGTTGAGTAAGTTAATCACCTCATTGACACATCACTTCACAAAGACAAACGTGGGTTCTGCCACTTTTAAAGTTGTCTTGCCAATCTGGTCATTCTTTTCCATAAAAACATACTGGTGAAGGTTTTTTTTTTTTTTTTTTTTTTTCTGACATTACAGGCACAATTATGTTTTATATCACTGTGATTTCTTTCTTTATCCTATGTTTGTCTTTCAAAGCCATATAAACAGGAAGACCCAGTATGAGAACCCAGTGTTGGAGGCGCGGCGTCAAAAAATCCTGGAACAGCAGCAACCGCCGCAGCCTCCAGAAGGTGAGCGGTATATCCGAGGTTCGTTTCCTGCCCATTTCTTTCTTTCTTCATGTCTGTCAGTGTCATGTCTTTCTTGTTCGTTTGCCAGGAGTTCGGCCAGAATTTATTACTCCTCATTGTCCTGTTTCTTTTTTTTTTTTTTTTCTTTTTGTTGTTTTTAACATGTTCTCTCCAAATGTTGCAGTTGAAAAATAATAAGGTTTTCCAAATTTTGCCTCTTGTGGTTTTACCAAAAGCTGGCCCAAGTCCTGGTTTTGTCTTTAAAGTTCAGGTTTTAATTTATGTGTTTTTTAGCCATAAATACCATTTTGTATTTGATCATTGTAGTATCACATCATTATAAACAAAGGGGGGATGTTCACTTTATCTGTTGTTGTAAAACTGTGATGTTTGAACTGACTACTTGTACCTGTAATTTTAGTGAATGTAAAACTTGCATATAAATTAAAATATTATCAAAAAAGGTCACTAATTTTGATAATTGGATTCAAAAAGAGACATTTGTGATTTTTGTTTATTTTGATGATAATGGCTTATAGAAAGAAATGTGAAAAATGTGAATAAACAAAAGCGGGGCATCAGGTGTTGTAGCAGATGTGGCCGCTGGGGGTTCAACTCCCAACCTGAGATCTTTGAACCTTTTCTGTCTGGTATATGCAAATACAGCCACTAGTGCCACAAAGATGTTTTTGAAAATAAATAAGAACAAAAATTAATTTGTTTAATTCAAAAGTGACCACATACTGAAAAGTATTTCCATTTACTCTACATGTTGTGCGTTCATTACTCTGTTAGGTCTCCTGGCGTATGAATTCCTGCATCATTGAGATGTGGGATGGAGGTGATTAGCCTGTGGTTCTGCTGAGGTGTTGAAGAAACTCAGGTTGCTTTAACAGCAGCACTCAGCTCATCTGCACTGTGGATTTTGGTGACTGTCATCTGCTTCTGGATTATGCTACTTGGTTTCTCTCTACTTAGTTTTTACTTTTGTCAACTTTATGCTGTGAAAGTTAATCAGCATGAAGTTTTCTAACATTTCTTGACAACAGCTGTGCTGACTTTGAACTTACTGAAGCATGTTGGACCAACAATACCACGTACCATCATTCCCAAAGCATTGCTGACTGATGAAACGTTCCCTGTTACTGTGAAATCTTGATTTCCTAATGAGATGCAACATTTACGTCCTTCTAAAAAGAGGATTTTGGAACCCTGAGCAACAAGTCAAATCTTTTCCCTCTTCCCTTTGCCAGGTAACAGAGTCCTAGTATTGACTTTATTCAGCAGAGCCTTATCAGAAGGACTAATATGATTGTTGTCCATCTCCTGGATCTGTCTGACACACTGACTTTGGCTGCAGAGCATGCCTTCTGAAACTCCCACAAACTCTTAAAGTGTCTTTGCTCTTGTGACGGAGGAGCCGTCACGAACTGGGACTTAATTATAGAGTCTGTGTTGGCATGCAAGCACCCCCGCACACATTGTAATTTGGACTTTGAGTCTGTAATAAATTCATCTAACTATCCATCTACATACACACAAACGTATGCACAACCACTAACTTACTTTTTGTTGCAGTTTAAACTGATGCGGTTCATCATGGGTGCACACGCGGTGTTCCTGCTTCAGCTGACATTCCCTTGACCTGTTACTTTCAGCTTTGGACATTTTCCCGGTTCTATTTTCAAGCAGGATTGTTTCCGGACTGTGGCGCGTCGGGAGAGAGTCACTTGATGACTGAGTGTTTTTTAGTAAATCGACTATTATATTTTGATTACAAGTTTATTTATTTATTTTTCTATTATTATTATTATTATTATTATTATTATTATTATTATTATTATTATTATTATTATTATTATTATTATTATTATTATGTACACTTTAAGAGTTTATTTGAGTTAAAAGTAGTTGCTTAGTTGTTTTTTTTTTTGCTTGATTGGACTTTCTGTGGGTGGAGCAGGGCTCTGCTCTAAAGTGAGGCAGTTAGACTAGGAAGAAGTCCCACTGAAGGTGATGGGCTCATACATTGAAGGTACTGCTGTTTGTCTGATTTCAACCTGTCTTGGATCTCCTTTCTAAATATTCTGCACCTGCCATATTTGTTCACCTGAAGAAAAGCTTAATAAATTTCACTGAAGTGATCCCCGGCCTTGGCCAGCCATTTTTTGGTTGTCCAAGTTATAATGCAACCCCGTCACAGCGCCACAGTCTTAAAAAGCCAGAAGCTATTCCAGTTGCTTGTACACCTTTGCCTACTTTTTCTTTTTAGCCTTTCCAAGCATATGCTTCGATGATGCATTCTGAGAACCGTCAGGTTCTTCAGCATTACTTTTTTGGGGGATTTCTCTTCTTTTGGGGGAATGTCAAGCAGTTCTTTCCCATGATTGTGTAGGTCAAATCATATGATAATTCCTTCTTAATGATCTCGAGTGATATTAAAATTTTTCCGAAAAATTTTAGCTTTAAGCCATAATCATCAAAATGAATCAGTTAAGCACTTGAAATATTTGTATGTGTAATGAATCTATACAAGTTTCACTTTTTAAAGTAGTTACTTTAATAAAGTAACTAAGCTCTGCTTCAGAACTTGAAGCTGAGCTTCAAGTTCTGTGTTTATTGTGTATTGTTTATGTGTCTTCATGTGTGTTCAGCACGTGTGTGGTAAGTATGGGATTAAAGTGGGAATGATCAATGTGTGTGCAGAGTGGATAGAGGAACACTCATCAGCAGCAGCTCCACTGGCAAGCTATGCTCCAAACCACCTGGAGACCTACAGGGACCCACAAGTCCCACCTGCTCTACCTCCTGGCCCGGTTGGAGTTAAGAGTAAGTCTCACTTGTAGATATTTCTACTTGATTTTACTAATATGGCATGCGTGACCGAGGTTACTTTTTCTATTACTTGTTTTTTTCTAGCAAATGAAATTATATATCCTGGCAGTAAAATATTTTACATATTTTTCTTCTTTAATATTATTTTAAATCATTGCATATGCTTATTTGTTTTATTGCTGTTTTATTATATTTATTTATATTTATACCTTTTTTCTTAATGTCATCATTCTTATCAGGATATATGTATATTATGGCTACCTTGAGCTTTTCTTAAATCCTTTAAACCAACATTACTATTACGCATTTCCATACATTTGTGTTTTCTTCTTCTTCCATGTTGTAGTCAATTTCTATTTCATTTTATAAATACTTTGTGTTTCCCATGTCACTTATTAAAAGTAAACAATGGTTTGTTGATTATATGCAGCATTGTGCTCTCTGGACCCAGAGTTTATGAGTTGTTGTTTGCTTTCTGCAGGAGGGAAACCTTTCTTCACCAGAAATCCTGCAGAGCTAAAAGGAACCTTCATCAATACCAAACTGAAGAAAAGCCGCCGTGGATTCGGCTTCACAGTGGTTGGAGGTGACGAGCCCGATGAGTTCCTGCAGATCAAAAGTCTGGTGCTGGACGGGCCTGCAGCTGTGGATGGCAAAATGGAGACAGGTGTAGTACATAGACTTCATCAAAAGAGGGCACTGCTTTTATTCATAAACCCACAAAGGTGTTTTTGAACAACTTACCTTTGAAATCTCACTTCTGTGTAACTAATAGGAGATGTCACAAACAGTAACAGAGTTTTTACTGGGTAATAGAAACATTGCTGAAGATACCGTCTGCCTTTTTGCAGGTGACGTAATTGTCAGTGTGAATGACACCATCGTGCTGGGCTACACTCATGCACAGGTAGTGAAGATTTTCCAGTCCATCCCTATTGGCTCAATGGTGGACCTATCCTTATGCCGCGGCTATCCGCTGCCATTTGACCCCGATGACCCCAACACTAGCCTAGTGACATCTGTGGCAATCTTGGATAAAGAGCCGATCATTGTCAATGGACAAGAGACTTTTGACGCACCCACCAATCAGTCTGGACCCATCAATGGAATGCGAGAGCCACGGCCGCACAGCCCCCTGGCCGAGGTGGCCTCCAACGGTTCACACAGCTACTCCAGTGATGTGGTCACCCTGGCTTCAGCCATTGCCACCCAGCCAGAGCTGATCACCATCCACATGGAGAAGGGAGACAAAGGATTTGGGTTCACCATCGCTGACAGTCTGACGGGAGGCGGACAGAGGGTCAAGCAAATAGTGGACTATCCACGATGCCGTGGCCTGAAAGAGGGGGACATCCTGATGGAGGTCAACAAGAGAAATGTCCAGAATATGAGCCACAACCAAGTGGTGGATCTGCTCAGCAAATGTCCGAGAGGCAGCGAAGTCACCATGTTAGTGCAAAGAGGTACGTGTGACATCTCAGACCATGAAGATGATGAATGTCTGCAGGAAATGAAGTTTTGACATGACACGCTGTGAGATGAAGTGCACAAGAAAACATAGTTGAATCTGCTGAATGGGTAACAATGAAATGGAGAAGAGAGAGAAAGAGAGTGGGCTGCAGGATGAAAAAGCTCAGACTGAATATGATGGAAGGAAGAAAGGTACAGAGACAGCAGGATGAGATGAGGGTAGGGGTACAGGAGTGTAAGAGAGTGGGAGGATGGGTACAGAGTCAAGATGGATGAATGAGGAGGAGAAAATTGCTGCACATTAGGTCAGAGGCTCATAGATCACTGGTAAATGTTTGTCACCTTAAATTGCCCCTGCGATAGTTGGATGTGTTTCATGTTTCCACTCCTAATCACTATCTGAAATGAAGTAGAGTGGATCAAGCTTTGTCTTCATTGTTTGTGGATTAATGTCATTTTCACATAATGGTTCATGTTGTATTCACTCTTGACATCACATATAATAGTGTCTTACAAAAGTATTCTCACCACTTGAGCTTTTTTCCATTTTGCCATGTTATAGCCACAAACTGCAATTCATCTTGCTGACATTACATGTGATAGGCCAACACAAAGTAGCACATTTTATAATTGTGAAACCAAAGAACAAACACTTTTTCATTTTGTTAAAATCTTAAAAATGGGGTGTGCATTTGTGCTTAGTACGTTTTAATCTGATAATCTAAAATAAAAACAAAACACAAGCTTTCACAAGGTTCCTTTTGAGTAAATAGTCAATCTGTGAAGACCTTAGAGGTCTGAAGATGAGGGAATACAGTGAACATTTTGTGAAAAAAGTTGTAGAGAAATTCAAAGCAGGTTTGTTATAAAATAATATTACAAGTTTAGAGCATTTCACAGAGCACTGCTTAGTCCATCCTCCAAAATTGGAGTGCATGGCAATCCACTTTAACTGGCAGCATGCTCAAAGAGAACTCCACAAACACGGTAGCAAATTTTCAAAAAAGCATTTCGTATTTATGTGGTAGAATGACCTAAGCGAAGTCCAAACAAATTGAAAATTAGTGGCAAAAAACATCTCTTTATGTTCACAGATTCTCTCCTTCCAATCTAACACAGTTTGAAATATTCTGCCCCCCCAAAAAACAAGAGAAAATCTTCAGGCTTTGAGCCATATCTCAAAAGATATTCAGCTTCAATAACAGCAAAAGGCGGTTCTGCAAAAGGTATTGACTCAAGGGAAGAATACAGGATGCATGATCCACTTTTCAGACTTTTATTTATAAAACAAACACAAAAAGCCTCCTTATTATTTTCTTTAACTTAACAATTAATGCATTATTTTTAGTTCATGCGTCGCATGGAATCGTAGTAAAATGTGAAGGTAAGGCACTTTAACATATGGAGCCTTCATTTTTAGGTTTATAAATAGACTCAGAGTTTCTACAAACTGGACTTCTTGCCTGTTCAACCAGTATGCTTGTTCTTCTGCAAGATGCCAAATAAGAAAAAGCATGAGCTAAAGAATAACGTATTCAAACAGACACAATCATGCAAGGTTCCTCAGATTAGTCTACGTTAAATTGCTAACCAAGTGATCACTGTATTGACAGCAGCTTGGGATATGCACCACACATCAATTATGAGATCTAATGAGTTGACCTTGTGCACTGCTGCTGGAATAACTGCTGTATTGTGTTAAATGTCAGCATCATTACAAATCTCTGTGTGTGGGTTTGTGTGAAGGAGAGAGAAGACTAATAGTACAGAAGCAAGCTCCGAGGGCAAAGCACAGAGAGGGAATAAATGAGAGGATAAATGGGTAGGAGGCTCCAGAAGTCACAGGAGCTGGCAGGGTGACTGGCAGGTTCATAGATCATATCTGCTGGCTTTAACACCAACCTGTAATAACTATGTGTTCAGGTGAGTGGCTGGGTGTTGAGGGACACACAGTACCCTTCCAGAGGTAAGCGGGAGGTGGGGCGGGGCTGCTATTTTCAAGTGTTTGTTTGGATGCTTTCAATTTCAAGAATAAGAAATAAGCAACTAATCTGGCAGGGCATTTTGGACAAACTTTCAGTGACATTTTTTGTAGGTTTTTCAGAAATGTTTAATTTCCAACCTATCCATGTGTACTTTGCCTATAAATTATAGATCAAACTATAACTTATAGAGAAAGTTATTAGATTGAAGGATTGAACTGATGGGATTGCTAATGCTAATTCCACCAACACTGGGCTGTGTGATACTAATGACAGAAAAACTGCAGAGCCATAAAGACCAAAACAAATTGTGAAAGCAGTTGATTATCAGTTGGTAAGATGGTGTAATTATCAACCAAAAATTCAGCTCGTGTCCACAATAACAAAGAACTAAATCAAAAATACAGTGAAGAGTTTTCAGTTTCATTGGGATATGTCATTTTCCTCTTAGCTTAATTGCTTTTCAAATATAGTAACTCTGAATAATTCCTGTTCCACCATTTGCCTTTGTATTTCAGTAATGCACATAACTATTCAGTTTAAAGTAATTCACACTCAGACATGTTTTCATATTCATTCACTTCACAATAACTTGACAACTTTAGGGAACCAATTAATGCTTTACAAAATAAACTTTATTTCTTCATGTTTAGACCTACATAAAATGTGTTTTCAGATACACTAACATACATGATGAGACAGTAGCTTTAGATATGTAGTATCAGTAAACTGCATGAGCAGAAAACTAAATTGTAAAAAAATAGATTTATTATTGAAGAAACTGCTTCTTTGTTAATTGAAACTCTCTGAAAGCTCCTGCCAATGAGATTTCTGTTTGACTTTATGGTTGAGGATGCATCTGTGAGTTTAGCCTCGCTCTAGAGCTAGTGTGTTGGCCAACTATAGCTAAAAAGAGAGTTGTAAGAGGAGTGCATGGGAATAAGATGAGCAGGGATCATGCTTTGAAAGAGTGGAGGTGGAGGATTAGAGAAGAGAGAGGGTGAGATTTGCTGAGCAGAGCGGGAAGTTCACCAAAGGGGAGCGTGTATGAGAGGATTGGTTTCGGAGATGTACAGGAGACAGATAGCAGGGGGAGGAGAAGGAGGAGGAATAAGGTAGGCTTCATCGAGAGAAGAAAAAGCTCTAATCTGTTTATCAGCAATTCATCAATCTCTGCTCTCTGACTCAGAGTGAGCAGACTGAGCTTGTAAGAGGAGTGAAGACTACAAAATGCAAGTTTGGTGACAGCCATCGATAAAAAATATGAGGTACACATGTTACTGTAGCTCTACTTGGTGAGGAGATGCTTAAAACCTGAACTTCACCTAATTTAAATCATTTTTGTCAAAGGTTCAGATCAAGTGTTCTGTCTTGACTGATCAGCACAGCAGATTTAAAAACATCCTCTGTCATACATTTCTGTCTGTCCTTGAAGAGCTACAATAGGGGATATGTTTTCATTCTAAAAAACATTTTATGTCTGAGTTTAGGTTTAAAAAAAAATGAAAACCAGGAGAACGGTTACATTTTATATAATGCAACGGCGATATTTGTAAAAAATTAAGGCACCTATCTTCTAAGAAAAATAAATCTAAAAACATTACTGGTACTTTTAATGCCCTTCAAGGTAATTATCCCATGAAAAAATAGCTAAAATCTGCATTTTAGTCAGGGCTACTGTGAAAGATCAAGTTTGCAGACCGCCGCCCGAGGTCATTATGCCCTGAAGGGGTCGCCCGATTGCCTGTATCAATAATCTACTATTTGTTTCTGTTAGTGCATTAATTACAGTCTATAAATTCTTTTTCACATCTTTCACACAGTAATAGTTGTAGACACCAGGATTTATGTGCACTTTTCTGGATTACCTGTAAATTTCTTAAACAAACTGTAACTTCACCTAATTAAGTCAATGACATTTAATTAGGCTAATGTGCGTAGCTTAGCTATCTTCTTTTGAAAGACAAACAGTTTTCAAAATGCTGATCTATTTAAAATGATTTTTTTTAGATCATTGAATATGTCTTTAGAAATTATTTAATTACATAAAATGCAAATTTGCACCAGTGGATATATTTTTATTCCAATTTTTTTTTATCCATTGAAAATATGATAAATTATGAGTAATTTTGTTTTATTAAATAATTGTTTCATCACCTACAACATTAAAGATTGCATCAAATGTTCTCACCCACTTAGGCGGTTCCCTGTAAAGGAGGGCAGGCCAGCTATGACTCCTCCATCTTGTCTTTCCGTCGTTGTTGCTATGACAATCTTGCAGAGTGTTTCTGTCCCCAGAGAAAAGGAGAAAAAGAGGAGAGAAAGTAAAAAAAAAACAAAAGGAAGGGGAATAAAATGAAGAGGAAATGAATGTGGAGGAATGAACTGTTACCTTAATAATTTACAGCAGATGAATAGAAAGGACAGCAGGAAGCTGGGACAATCTTGTATGGAGAGCAAGGACAAAGGTTGATGGGCTTTATTTAATAAATCAAAGCATTACTCACTTTTATTTTGTTTTCTCTAACAAAATTGATAGAAAACCTGGAGGAAGGACTATTCACTCAATCCGTGTGGGCTCAGCTTGGAGTTACCAAGGCCACAGCCTCAGCAGCTCTGAGAAGTAAGGTCCATTCAAGCTGCTGCACATTCACTTTGAAAAGGATGTAGGAATGATAAACCTGCGTAAATCATTTGTGCCCACTCAACATCAATATGTCGTTTGGCTGAATATTAAACGTTTTTGCTGCTTATGAATGAAAATCAAAAACTTGTTTGCATGCGGGACTGGTAATACATTTCTGAAAAAAAGCATTATAAAAGTAAACCCTTTTTAACCATTATAAAAATAACATTTTCATACGGTGAAATGAAGAGGATCCTCCTCTGTTGTCAGCATAAATGCAGATATTTTGGTAGTTTTTCTCCCCACCTTTACAACAAATAGATCCGCATTGGTCTCTAAACAATCTTTGTTTCACGCATTTGCCTTGTCAGATTTGTGACTGCTTTGGTTTATATAAGCAATCATCTTAATTGTTTGGGGAACAGATAGAGAAGAAAACTGATATTCACTTCACCGTAATGTACTCCATACTCAGTAAAGGCTGTGTTGGATAACAACAATCATTTTGACAATTGCGTTATTTAAAACAGTCCTATAGTTATCTCTACAAAAACAAACAAGCCTAAAAAGGCATATCTGCAGTAAATGCTCCTGTACAAACCAGTATCAAGGCATATCAAAGTTTGAAAATGTTACAGTTTAATAATTACAAACTTTTTAAATACCGTGAAGGGATGAATGCTGGATCAAAAGATTGGGGCTGATAGGTAACGGGTTGTAGGTGTGAGGGAAGAGAGCAGAAGGCAAGCTGAGTAGAGAAAGAAATAAAATGGCACAGAGGACGAGGGGAAATAAACAGGGGAACTAGGAAAATGAATTTTTAAGATATAATAAGCAGATACTGTATAAGGAATATAATTAAACTAGAGTGGTGATGAGAGTATAATGGAAACAAGGCTTATCTAATCAAAGAATGAGACTAAGGAAATCAAAGAACAGTGATGAAAACTAGAATCCATCCCAAACTAACTCCAGACCTGCCAATATCTGGTCTTTGCTGTATGGTGAACAAACACATTTTTTAACACAGTATCATTTTTAACAGGAGTTAGATAATTTGTTGATATATTTTAAATAAAAGCAGTTAGAATATGTTATGTATGTATTTGTTTAATATTTTTGTGCACGTATGATGATGTAAAACTGTTCTTTTTACTTTAAATTATAATGTGAGAATCTTATATTGTGCGACAGCCTGGCGACCTGTCCACTTTGTCAAGTGTAGACTGCATGGGTCATATAACCAGTCGGTGTTATAGGAAACATTTACATTGACATGACATTTGACCCAGTGATGGACGTCCGTCCGTCCTATGTCAGCTGCACCCACAAGCACATCTGCAATCATTTAGGCCTGTGAAAAATGAAAAAAAAAAAAGTTTAAAAAAAGCTTTAAGCCTTTGCTCAGTGGGCGAGATGATCCATTTGGTCCAGTAAGAGGCACACCATAATCTGAGAGATGGAGAGAACGTGCAACAGAAAAAAAACTCAATAAATTATGAATTGAGTGGAGAGGGGCCTTGCAGCAATAGAGTGTTTTAACATTTAATGATTTTTTTGCCAGTGCAGCAGAAGGAGCCTGGGATGGATGTTTGCGTGATGTGTAGTGATGTCAGTGGTAGATTCCCTCTACACTTGATGTACACCCTGGAGGAAAGAAAATCTGCAACTACTTCTTTATAGCAAATATGAAGACAAAGCGCAGGATGCAATATATGAAAGGTCTACGGTTAAAATTAAAATTATGTTCTATTTATACCCTCTTCCCCCCGCTCAACTAAACAAAACTACCTGATCACCTTGGAAACGGCAAGCACTCTTCCCTATCCCATCTCATGTCGTTCATGCATTCATTTATCTATTTTTGTCTCCATGTTCTGTGCCAAGAAAAAAAGCTTGATGTAGAGTCGCCTTGGGAAAAGATGAAAGAGTCCTGTGTGGGTTAAACAGCCAGGTTGTATTTCAGTAGACCTAATATTTGAGCTAGAAGATGCTTCACCTTAAATAATGAGAGATATTTGGAAAGGTAAAATGGCATGTGTGTTATTCCCTACAACAATGTGCCGTTTGTCATCTTCCCTGTCATCTGGCTGCGGTATTAATATTTTATAGGCACAAATGAGATTGATCTTCTTGGTTACTCTTTACAGTATGTTGTAGGAGCGAGATGGGGAGAGAGAGATACGGGCACAGCGAGGCATGGCGCACAGTAGAAGAGGAGGGGGGGAGGGAGCAGCGAGGAGAAGATCAGCTTCTCAATGTGAGCCCTGAGCAAAGCAGTGGAGTTGGGAGTGGAGGAAGCAGCTCTGGAGTCACTCAGAAGATGCACACAGACAGGTTTCCCCTTCGAGAATTGAGACTCCACCTGGAGAAGTGGCGTGAAAGAGACCTGTAGCTGTTCCTGCTTCATCGCCACTCTATGTAACGCAATCAGATCGGTGGCGCTCCTCTGTTAGCGCGGCCGAGAGCGTGGAGTGGAGCGGGATACAGAAAAAGGGGGCGGAGATCACTTAGATCAGCGAGCAGCCCGGCGCAGTGTGTTGCTCAGTTAGAGAGAGAAGAGGAGGCAGAACGAGGAGGAGGAGCAGGCCAGTCGCCTTCTAGTCTGCAGCACGAACCTGAAGGTTCATCCATTCGTCCTGAGGAGGATCTGACCAGAGGGGACTGAGGAAGAGCACCGCAGGTCATTAATGCTCTCCCTGTCTTTGTGTCGATGTTTTGCAGGCGTGGTGCCAGCCAAGAGAAGCCCAAAGCTGATGGTGAGTACTGTCTTCAACTCTCCTCTTTGTGTGCATATCACTGCACGCTACTCACTGAAACAAGTGCTATTTTAAGAACAGAAGGCGCAGACTTGTGAGATGTGACTGAGATCTTAAGCTTCAGAAATCTTTGCCTCTTCTTCATTACCAGCCAAGCTTTGTGCCGAGCTTTGTGTGATCCTTATTTTTAAATCTTTGATCTTGTTTCTGTCACTTTTCTTTGTTTTATATCCTCTTTACTTTGTCTTAGCATCCCACCCTTCCTGAAATGCTGCCACTCTGTGACTGATTGAGCGTAGCGTAGCCTGGGCAGAGTAGTGTAACTGTGACCAGCTGTTGAGGAGGGCAGACAGCCACAGCTCAGAGAAAAAGGCAGCAAGAGAAGATTGGGATAAAAAGGGAAGAGCGTAAGGAAGGGAAACACAGCTGTGAGTCACCCAGATCACCCACAGTTACAGAGGGAACACTGACAGAGAGAAAGAGGAGAAACAATGTCATGCTCGAAAATTGTGGTTTGTAAAAAAAGGGAGTAGAGAAAATCTGAGAAAGAATCAGCAAGGCAATTCTTCAAGGGCAATTGTAAGTTTCACTTTTAATTTAAGAAAATTTCTTTCATTACCATGTGACCACCAAAACACACTTATTTTAAACGAAATCAGTGGCGACACAATTAAAGTGATGGTGACAATTTAAGGATTTGTGCAATGAATTATGTTAAAGTTGATCAGAGTTTGTTGGAGCTAATTGTCAAGCTATAAATTTCTGTTTTCCTGGAGCACAAATAAGACATAAAGCATAAAGCCACATGGCCAGTAGACCGCATGAGAAGTATTAGTTATTTTGAAACTGTCGTTTTTAATGATTGGTCATTAAAAATAAATAGTTTATGTATTTATTCATAATATACTTATTATGAATAAATACATAATAGGTTGGAGAACTGAATGGTATAGTGGAGTAACCACGACATCTTTTCAAGTCTGTAGTGATATGCATTAGCCAAAAGTGAAGTTATAGGCGTGATGCCACAAAAAAAAAAAGCTTTTCTCTCTTTGTCTATGTGCCAGCCTTATGAAATATTATAAATCAAGGCAAAGCAAGTGTATTAATGACTGTGTAGTGGTAGAAACAATGACTGAAAGTTGGATTCTTTATTTTTTGTATGTGTCAGATTTTGTCCGTGTCTGTGGAAGAGGTCAGGGACAAGTTCATTTCACTCCAACTGAGACAGAAGAATCACTCTCCCTTAACTGACATTCAAAGCATCCATCTGACCTGAGTGGATATTAGGATTAGGATTAGTTTGGTATCCATCAGGGATATGGACGTTACCTTTTCAGGTCACATGGTGTTGCATTCTGAGAAGGGGGTTAGACTCTGTTTGGGGGTCGAGTGCCAACAGTGGCCATCCAGTGTCACTCCAGATTAGTGTTCGTCTAAGGAAAAGCCAGATTTCTCCCCTGTGTTATGTCAGTGAAATGTCACGCTGCATGTGACTTTCCATTTGCCAAGAACATCCTCTTTGCCTTCAGTCCAGAATCTCTGTAGATGCTTGCAGTAAACTCCCATATGCAGGAGAAACTCTCTGCTATGCCACCTCATTATCAAGTCTCCTGTGTTTGAATGAAAAGTCAATTTTGTGTGGCTGTTGTCCTCATTATGAAGCATTATGGGAATTTGACCCTTCATCTCATAAAGTGTGATGAGTGGAATAACTTCTCCACTATTTCAAGCCCCATCTTATTAGTTACAATAAATAAAGAGTGATTCAGTTGTCAGAGCTGCCCCCATTTCACCGTCATAATCACAATTTCTGAGTAGGACTTATTGTTATATGTCTGGAAGGTGTTTTTAGGCTGGGTCAACAAATATTAACATAGTAATCTGTACATACTCCAGTTTCTGTGGAGGATAAACACATAAAAAAAAAAACTTTTACAACTTAGCAGTGAATTCTGCATCTTGGTTGCATTTCTGCATTCTGTAGATGGAAGAAAAATTTAATCTTCTGCAATAAAGAGAAATGAAATTCAGAAAAAAGCAACATCTCTTTCACTTTATTTCAACCTGTCTTTGTCCTGCATCCATGGAAACCATGTCATTCCTTCTTTTACCTCAATAGACACTTTTAGTAAGAAATGTTCTACAGCAATATCTAAAAAAGATGACCTTGAACGGTCTTCCGCTCTCTCTCTGTTCTCTGTTTTCACTCCCGTCTTTGATTTGTTTGTTACTTCTTTCTCCCCTATTTCTCCATATTATGACTATGAAGTTCACACCTGCCCCCTGGTTCTATTATACTCAAAGACATCTCTCTTTTTTCCCCATCCAACCAGCACCAGTTGGAGAGAAAGGACAGTCAGAGCAGCTCCCAGCACAGCGTGTGCAGCCATCGCAGCGCCCACACCGACTCTCCTAGCCACCCACCCTCTGCCATGCCCAGTGAGGCAGTGGTCCCAACTCCAGCAGCTCCCACACAGCCTCTGCCGGTCTTGCCCCCCCAGGACCCGGCAGATGGCACTCTCACCCTCCAGAAGAAGCCAGACCCTTTCAAGATCTGGGCCCAGTCCAGGAGCATGTATGAAAGTCGACGTGAGTATATTTCTTTGGTCCTGTTGGAGGCATGATAAATCTTCCATGAAGGTTTCTTCTTAAAAGCAACCACACATTGCTTAATCTCAGTAGAGTTTGAGTCAAAAATCTACAAGAAAACATATCTGAAAGATTTGAGGCATGTGTGTGTGGCACATTAGGGCTTTTTTGTGCTTGCTTCAAGATTTTACTCGTTACATCCGATTCTCTGACAAAAGCCGCCTCGAGGGAGAAGTGTCCTTGGGAGCAAGCTAATCAAAAGGCTTATAATGTGTTTTAATTTGCCACATATACCCACACAGTCAATACCTTCCTCTTCAAAATCTGACGTACAAATATTTTAAATGAAAGGTCACAAATTCAAAGGTGGATGCACCTCATGTCAAAAGATAAAACATAATCTCGTCAGACGAAGCAAGAGAAAACGTCTCATGCACTGAAAAGTTTACTCAGATGGCAAACTAAAAAAACCCAGAATTGATACTTCAGATTGCAGCTATAAAACTCTTTTATATCCCGTATAGTCCATGGCTTGTTCCTGCAATATTCATGAAGAAACACTGAAATTGTGATGAGAAGAAGAGTCTATGTGATCTAAATCATTCAGACCTGCAGAAGTATGCAGTGCTATAAACTCTCAAATCCTGCTTTGTGTCGCAACAAAAAGCCATTATGTAATCGGAGTGGGATGATGTGCACGGCAAGTTTGTTGTTGGCTTGTCGAATTACTGTTCTTGGCCAGATGCGCTAGTTGTGCACCAGCCGCATGTTGCAGAGTTGCTTAATAAGAATGTCAGCAAGAAGAAACTAGGACTACTGCTAATTAAATATTAACTGGGTCTTGAGAGGGTTGCTTTAAGCTGCAGATGATTGGTGTATATGTTTGATATCCTCTGAAGAAGCTACAGCCCCTTTTTGATTCAGCGAGGGAGCAAGAGGAGACACAATGGAACAAGAAAGAGGGAAAACAGAATTACTAACAGCCCTAGATTTCCAGACTCCATTTTTATGCTGTTCGAACTTCCCCATCCCAGCAAACACTGCCTGAGTTCGTCAGCAGATGCATTTGTGCTTCCACCATATGTACTTGAAAAGCACTGTTGCAGTGAAGGAGAGTGTGATGGAAGGGTGAATCCTAAGAGCAGAAAGAGAAAGACGGTTGGCTTCGTTTTGACATTTCTCATGAAAAGAAAATGATTGACACAGTCAGTACGGATAAACAGATACATGGGTTGGCCCTTCTTCACAGAATTGCTTGAATTCTGCCATTGTGTGCAGTTTGTTTGCGTCAAAAGCAATTTCAGGTTACGTCACAGCATTTAAATCACAGTATGAACTTTGACTAGACCATTCCAAGCTTTCTTTTCTTGATGAAATTAGAAGTGGACCTGCTATAATGATTTCACTCAGTGTGCTGTTGCATCTTAAACACTAATGTGTGTCAACAAAAGCAAAAACTGGGAAAAGTTGTAAAGGAAAATAGAGCAAACCCTCAGAACTTTAGATGTGTCCATGCTACTGTACTAAAAGATTAATTAATTACTTTCTCAGTAAGGTTGCAAAGTCAACATGAGTGTGGGATCTTTCTTCGTGGAGTTTGCTCGTCACTGCAGTGTATCTCCCTGTGTAAGAGTGCTTTCCCTCCTGGTGCTCCAGCCGTCTCCTCTAGTCTGAAGACCTGACTGCCAGGCTAATTGATCTTGCTTTGTGGCCCTTTGTTGAGGGTTTGTCCTGTTTTGTGTATTTAGTCTGTCCTGTGATGGATTGGTGACCTATTTTAGGCATATCCCACCTCTTACCCAATGAGAGATAAGCATCAGCTCCCACATGACTTTGTGAGGACAAGTTTGTGAGATGGGTGAAAGGATGGATTGAAGGCTCTCCATTGAAAGAACTTAAAGCCATAGGAAGAGCTTGTGATGCACTTTTGAACCAGCAACTTTTACCGATGTCTGTACCCTTGATAACAGTAACCTGTCTAGTGTGAGCAGATAGTAACGACTGTGTTATTCTTGTCTGCTAATTTGTATGCATCCCACCAGTTTGGAAGGAAACATAATATGGATACATTTAAAATAAATGTGCTAGTGATACTGACTTCAAAGCATCATCGAGTCTTATCTCTTTCTCAACATAATATTAAAAATAACTGAGTCATTTCTGCACTCTGATTTTAAGTCATGTCCTCTTTATCCAAGTGAGTCCAAGCATTCACACCAAATTCTCCACAAATGCTCCGGTGGAGGGTGGAAGTAAAATAGATGGTGAACATCTTTCTTGTTTTAACCTTTGGCTCTGGAAGATGTTTCACTTCTCAACCAAGAAGCTGCCTCAGCTCTGACCCATGGGAATGGTCTTGGTTTCTCTTAAAGAAACCAAGAGAAAGTTCAGATGCTTCACTCTTTAAAAAATATACACGTAGCTTTGATCACTGCTCCTCCCAGGTGAACTGAGGGTTAATTAGAACCCTAGCAGAAACTTTAATTCAAACTAACCACATATTAGATGAAGGTGAAGAACTTGGGTTCACTGCTGGCCTCGAGAGGCAGCCGTGCTGACAGCAGGCGGTGCATTAAAGAGGCCTTGTGCCTCCTGTGCATGCTGGCCCTGTGGGTTGAACAGACTGACACTGAACTGCCTGCGTCCTCCTCCACAGTCTGCTTACGCTGTGGCAAGATGCGAATATGTGGGACACTTCACATGTTTGAGTAAGATGTAAAGCAGAGAAGAGACGGTAAAAAGAAGAAAGAAATCAATCTGCGCAAATCTGATTTGTCTTGTAAATACAAATGAATAGTATAGCTCCATTAGGTGAGTTTTTAGGTTTTCATTCAGGTCATCTTGAACAGAACATGCACAAGACGACAGACACAACCAATCGCACACTCTCTATAACAAAGTAAGGCAAAGAAAAACACAAATATATCTTGGATATTTCTGTGACAGTTCCTTTGCAAAAAGGACAAGACACACTGAACAATGAAGCACTGGTTTAGTGATTAGAAAGCATTGGTTGTAGTTGGTAAAAATAGCAGCTTCTAGGTTTGTAATGGATCAATAAGGATTTTTTAATTTTTTTTATTTATTTATTTTTTAATGTATGTTTCAGTGCCAGATTGCCAGGAGCAAGACATTTTCCTGTGGCGAAAGGATACTGGTTTTGGCTTCCGCATTTTGGGAGGAAATGAGCCTGGAGAACCTGTAAGTGTCTCTTAACGTTTATATCTCATTATTTACTGTAAATGCTTACAAATTAATAGATAAGTGTGTAGATAAATGCTTACATAAAGTAACAATACTTTTCTGAATGCTCCTCAGTTTGAGGCTGCTTGCTTCATTAGTTTTTCTCCCCCCTGTCTTTTCAGTTCTGTCTGCCTTTACACCAGAATAGCACAAAGTCTTAACAAATTACTCCCACTCCCTATCTGGAGCTGTTGCTCTCTGGAGAACCTTACAGACAGCTTGTTAGGAGAAGCGAAGGCCGTATCCTCCGATCCTTGTGCTGTTGTTCATCATGAAAGGGAAAGCAAGTTGAAGAATGACAGAAAGCTTGCAATTGGATAAAGTAAAGTGGTAGAAAGTTTCAAGTCTGCCTCACAGGAAGTTGGTTTGTTGATTGGTCCAAGAGCACTTCACAAGCAGAAAGTCTGCTTTGATATGATGGGCCAGACCAGAGCAGTCTGGGCTCAGTCAGCAGATTGGTATAGCCTAGGCCGAGGAGGTTAGCATGTTGCATGAAGCAGTACTTTGCAGGGGGGCCATAAGTGGAAGCTTTGGAATATTGAATCCAAAGAAAATCCACTGAAAAATAAATAAAATAATAAAAATAATAAAAAAATAAAAAAAAGATTGCAGACATTTCTTTGACAGCCACTGTAGTTTAATTGTTTCAAAATCTGAATGTCTGCCTGTGGGATTACATTTTTTGGGATATTTTTGTTATACCATCTTCTAATCTCCATAGCATCAAATGTTTATTCAACAAACACGATGAAAGGGCCAGTATTATGTAAAATTAACGTTTTATGAGCTTCACATCATGCTATAATGTTATTAATCAAAAACATACCTGAAGTGTTGCCTTGATTTTGTCATGCATTTTTGAGAAATTCTTTCATTTCCCATTCAGCCCCTTCAGACTAGCCAGCAGCAATTAGTAAACAAACATCTGGTGGAACTGTACATCTGCTAAGCTCATTATATGAGCTAATTCTCAGTGCAACGCTAGTGAAAACATTGTTAAAGGGTTAATAGAAGAGCGATGTTATTAAGACATCCTGAAGGTGGAGTTTCAGAAAGAGCAGGAGTTTAGAGACAGAAACCCAATTCTAAGGCATTAAATTATGAAGTCATTATGAAGAACATTATAAATTATGAAGGCATTAAATATATAGGCATATTAATATATGTTCTCATATATGCAACATTTGTATAACAATGGAAGGTAGCATAGCTACTTGATTGTACTGCCGGCCATTATGTCATTATGTGTCTAGTATATACATTACACAACCCCTTTAATTCTCCTGTCACTCATAAACACACTGAAATAATTCAACGAAACCATGCTTTTATTGGTTTCTGAATATTCATATTCTCAATTTCATACTTATTTATAAAAGGTATCTTGAGTGAAACATTTCTGTCTTTTTCCAGATCTACATTGGCCACATAGTGAAGTACGGGGCTGCAGATGAAGATGGCCGCTTGCGTTCTGGTGATGAGCTCATCTGTGTGGACGGCACAGCAGTAGTGGGAAAGTCGCACCAGCTGGTGGTTCAGCTGATGCAGCAGGCTGCCAAACAGGGTCATGTCAACCTCACGGTCAGACGCAAGACCCCCGGATACGGAGGTGATGAAAGTTTCTCGTTAAACATGTACATCTATCTATGTGTCATGCACGGTCACATTTGTGTTATGTAAACATATTGTTGCCAGTTGCTTCTTAGCTCATTTATCTGACCACTGTATTCTCACCCTCTTTATCCCCAGTGTCAAAGGGAGAAGGTGACGTTCCCCCATCGCCGGCCTCCTCACACCACAGCAGCACCCAGGCTCCCAGCCTAACAGAAGGCAAGCGGACCCCTCAGGGGAGTCAGAACTCACTGAACACAGTCAGTTCTGGCAGTGGATCTACCAGCGGCATAGGCAGTGGTGGTGGAGGCGGCAGCGGGAGCGCCGTGATTCCGGCCTCTCTGCAGCCTTACGACGTGGAGATCCAGCGGGGAGAAAACGAAGGATTCGGTTTTGTGATTGTGTCGTCCGTCTCCCGGCCTGATGCTGGCACTACATTCGGTAGGTGATGTGGGACTGTGAAATTTGTTTACTCTGTAGATAAACCAGAATTCTGTAAAATCCCTGCTCTCTCACCCATATGAAAAGATGTATCCCTCATCCTGGCCCTCGCCAATATTTCCATCATATTCTCAATCTCACTGATAGCAATCTTAAACTTTTATGCATCGCAGCAACACACCAGACATGCATTCAGTAAAGTCGGTCAGGCTTTGAGGAGAAATTGCACAAGCTGTCCTTGAACAAATTCAGTATAAAGCTCTGAGTGATGAACACCGATGTCATATCAAGGACCCTGTTACGATGATGTAATGTGATGTGTCATAGGTGAAAGACGAGACTGGACGATACTCTAGCCACACTAAGTGTCCTGAGGAGGTTCCACTGATACCAGGAGCTAATGGTGTTGCTTTCCAGAATGCAATTTTAGAATTAATTAGTGATTAACAATGACAGTGCTGGAAAACGACCTTGTCTGATCTTCTTCAGGCCTTAAAAGGTTTCTGTTATTTCTTCTTCCCCTTTGTGTTTTAGTGTCTTTGCTCCTCCTTTATTCCTAAGTGTGACTAAGGCTTCTGCTATAGCCCCCTAATGGGTTGTAACCATGTGGGACACGGGCTGAAATCAACAATTCGTTTTTTGACAAGTGACATTACTCTGAGCGTTCCTTCAAGATTTCTTAATGCCTGTCAGTTCTCCGAAAAATAAAAGCAGTTTCGTCTGATTGAGTTCCCTGTAAGTGTCTGGTAAAAAAAACATTTTTCCTAAGTCTATCAAAACCCATCTCCCCAGCAAATCCCCTCGTTCCATGACCCAGAGCCGGTGCTGTGCTTAGCAGATTGGGTGTTAAATCCTTGTCAAGCCCTGTAATGTCCCATAACTCATTATTTAAATAAAATGACAGCATGCAAGTGCATTTTCAATGAAGGCAGAGGAGAGGTGAATGTGAAGAAAGGTTACGTAATTAATATGGATGCTGCGCAGATTGCTGAATGAACACTGTAGGAGAAATAGGAAAAGTAAAACAGGAGGAGAAGGACAACTGGAGAGAGCAGGGATTTTCCTTAAGTTGCCATCAGGAATCCTAAACTCATCTTGATTCAACAATGTCCTGTCATGTTTTCAGTCTCCACCTGACTAGACTCACAAAAAGTTTTAAAGGGATAGTTCAGAATATGGCGAGGTTCTGTGAAAAGGTTATAAGCAGTTTATATCATATGCGCCGAATATAACTTTCTCCCAAGAAATCTACAATCTTTCTATCACCCAAATTGTTGTTTACAAATTCCAGACCATCACACCTAAATATAAAAATAATGTGTCTTTCATAAAATACAGATTAAAACATGAGGTTATATCAACTTTTGCACTTTAAATTAAAATTGGATAATATAACAAAATTGTTATTTAACATACCAATATTTAACTGACTCATCAACTCCACTTCTAAAGATGGAGAGCAGAGATAAAGTTGAATGTGGTTCATTTTTATCGGGGACCGGATACTAACTTGCTGTTTTTAAATTTAAATCGCTAAGAAAAAAGTTATTGTGACCTGGCAATTTTTAAGTGGTCTGTTGTTGTTCAATGTTGTTAACAATGGAAGAATCACAAATTACTACAATCTGCTATTTTGTAAACCTAAAATTATATCTGACCTATCTGTTTTCAGCAGTAGGGATAGTATTTTTTTAGATGCACATTTCTTTTCTGACAGTACAGTACCTCTGATTTTCCTCTCTGACCTTTTGCTTACAAAGATTAAAGAATACACCCGTTGTGCTTTCAGTCGTTGCTTTAAGTTTAGACTCGTTAGTCCCATTTTTCTTGATTCCTTGTCTGTTTGTAATAGATGGAAAATAATCATTTGACCACAGAAATAATCCTTTTTCACTTTGGGTACTTGTAAAACAAACACCTGTTGAAACCATAAGTTTAGTTTCTTCTGATTAAAACTTTATAAACAATAGAAATAATGCGGGGAACACTGTTATAAATTAACTTCTTATGATGTTACAATGGGTTAGATATGAACTGCTTATGACATTTTAACACAAACTCCATAAATCCATGAGATTCATGAATCTTTAATTAACATGTCAAGTTGTGGGACAAAAGGACATCCTTTGCATTTTTATTAAGGAGTACATAACTTCTCTTTTCTATTTCTTATTTTACAATAAAAATTTTAATTTGTGTGCAAACTACAATAGTTTTTCACTTCCATTTGGTGAATTTGGGACTTGGTGATTTGAATAATTGATCTACCCTCCTCTTTCTTTCTTCCATTGTGTTTTCTCCTCGTTTCCCACTTACATTAAATGCAAATCAACACAAATAATCATCTCAATCACACAAATCTATACCGCATATTCTTTTTAACATGAAAAAAATACATAAACACAAAAGCTGGAAATGCTTGTGTGGCAATGCCCCACAAAATAGGCCGCATCATAGAGGGGAGCCCAGCGGACCGCTGTGGGAAGCTGAAGGTCGGGGATCGGATTCTGGCCGTTAACGGTTGCTCCATCACGAACAAGTCGCACTCGGACATTGTCAACCTGATCAAGGAGGCTGGCAACACCGTCTCACTCAGGATCATTCCGGGCGATGGTAAGGCTCTCATCTTTCGACATCACACGGATGTTTCATAATGCATCATGATGTGACTTATTCATGGTTGTAGTGGGAGGCAAAGGTCATCGATGCTTTTCAGAGACATGAGAACTTTTTTTTTTTTTTATCATGGCGTGGATCCTTTTATAAGAAGCAAGATCAATAGGGAGGAGTAAGGCAAAGTAAATTTTCCCTTTTCTCTGATTTTTGTCCATTTAGTTTCTGGATTGAACAAATTAAACACTTTCTATTCTGGTGCTAATTTCACCAACTTTCACTATTAAATGTAGTACAATATCTCAGCACAAGCAGTGTACTTTTCAAAGTTGCATGTTTCCTGCAGGTGTTTTAATGCTTGTTAAACATAACATTTTGTCAATGTACAACTACAGACTTACTATATGATACATCATCACAAAGTGGCATAAAATTATGGAATTGAAGGAATATTTTTGAGAAATGTGCTTTGTACTCGTATTATGACCACCTGAATCGATTCTTTCGGAACCAACGTTCACTCCAATTACATCTGCAGGTCTTTTGAGTTGTGTATCTACCAGATTCACACATAGAGAGATGACTGATGAATTTGTCCACTATTCTTTGAAATGACACATTGAAAAAAATATATATATATTTTCCTTTCACTACAAAATTATGCATCATATTGTAATGGTCCATCAGACAAAAATCTAACAAAATGCGCGGATGTTTGGGTTTTCATCATGACACAGTATGTAAAAGATTAGTGAGGTTTGAATAGTTTTGCAAATCGCTGTATATCATGTTCAGATAGAAATATACTGGTTCAACAGACACAGAACAGTTTAAAATTAATTTTCCAAAGACTTCGGCCAAAAGTGGTGATAAGAGTCACCATCAGTGTGAAACCTATACATACACTAGAAACACAGTCCAAGCGGGATTTGGATTGATCTCTGTAGGACAGCGAGATTAGTGAAAAGTGACTAAGGTGCCTGAGAAGAATGAAACAGGCTGATATTCTAGAGCTACAGCATACTCCTTTCAATTGAAAGTATGACACTTGTTAGACTGTAGCCTTTTTTTTTTCATTTTAACTGGTCATAAAAACAAAACAAAAAAAAAACAATGAGAGAGTGTTTTGTTACATTTGTGTTTTCCGATCCACGCAAACGGGTTCAGTGTTGTCAGTGAGCAAAATAGCAGATGACAGCATCACACACAGTTAGCATCAGATCAATACAGCTGCCTAAGGGTGATTTAAGAAACTCTTTTGGACAGTGGTATTTTGTTCACCTTAGTGCCTTTTAGAGACATCGCTCCAGGCTGATGCATTTAATAAAAACACCCACTTAATTTAACTTCTTTTCCCTCTGTTTTCAGAATCTTCCAATGCTTCTCTGCTGACTAATGCAGAGAAAATAGCTACCATAACCACCACACACACACCTCAGACCACAGAGTCACGGTAGGTCCTGATACATTTTCAAATTTTCAAATTTTATATGTAATAATAATAATAAAGTTTAATGTGGCTTGAAATATATTGCCAACATGAAATCTTTGTTTTCCTTTGGAAAGGAATCATTCGAAGTCAAAAGGTGCTCCTCCTCTACCTCCTACACAAACTCAAATGCAGGTAATTGTCAGCATTTTCAATGCAGTTAACTGATTTTATACTTGCGATTGCCATGTATATGTTAAGACATGAAGTCATGGTTTACGTTCTGCCTAAAATTATAACAAATATGTTGAATCAAGCACTCTGGAAAAACACATTCAAAATTTGTTAAAGTGTATCTAAGCCCACATAACCTATTTTTGGTTATAAATTGTCTAATTTGGTTTGTAAGGGTCCTATTTTTGTGTAGACGTGTTTAGTTTTGCAATATTTTGCCAATCTAACACTCAAATAATGTTTATCTTTCTTGTGGTGAGGAAATTTGTGAATTGTCACCTCTATAAAAGAAAAACACAAATTGCTTTATGACAACAACAGAGAGTCTCTTGAGAAGAGCATAACTTTTGTGTGGTCCATCTGTAATTTAAATACGGGACAGAAATATTCTTAAACCTTTTCAACCACAGTATATTTTACTAATCAGTAGGGGGCAGTAATACACCAAGAGATGAAGGGAGAAGTTGAAGTCTAAGAATGCAAATTACAACCATGGGATGAGTTGAACTTCCACTTCATTTAATTTTTAGCAGCATTATAAAAAAAGTCATAATGTGCACATAATGACTTGTGGTGAGTTGTTCGGGAAACTGGCATAATTTATATACTATTTAGCTGGAACATAAATTAAACTACATTTTTTTTCATTTGTTTAGATTCACAAACAAAATATACATTGTAGTTTTTACATTTGACATGTGTTAAAATGCCTGATAAGTGAGAGCGGTTATTCCATTGTTTTGCACACCAATAGAACTGATGTCATAGAAAAACATTAAATCTGTGTGACTTTGTTACTGCATTGCCCAGTGATGGCATTTCAAAGTCAAGTCAGTCATTCTTTTGGTTCTCTCATTAATGAGTTTTGCATTTATCAAAGAAACGATGGAAAGGCATATGGCGCTATCAAATCAATACAACATTTATTCAAAAAAGCTGTTTTCTTATGCTTAGAGATTAGGCTGTGATGTGTGACAGACCTTATATACACCCACATTGAAATGAACTTTTATCTAACATTTTGTTGGCTGGTCTATTTATGTTCTCACATAGAAATCTTGTGTTTGAAGCAAACTTTGGATGAGTGTGGAAACTTTGGGGTGCAGCCCTTGTGATGCCCTTGCTTGGTGATCTGTACTCTGCTCACATGTACTTCTGCATTAATTATTCATGTATTCCACTGTATTGTACTGCCATTGACATTTTGAGGGTTTTTTTGTGGAACACAACTAGATTAGTTCTGAAGTTTGGACTCATCCCTTGCTGCACAATACATAAGTCACTAGTATTTCCTAGTATTTCTTATGTATAGATATATACTTGTTCTTACACCACAGGATGCCGAGTACTATTCTGTGGACCTGGAGAGAGACAGCAAAGGATTTGGCTTCAGCCTAAGAGGAGGCCGGGAATACAACATGGACCTTTACGTGCTGAGACTAGCCGAGGATGGGGCTGCTGTCAGAAACGGCAAGATGAGGGTATGAAACTCACAAGTTCCCTCTGATTCTCTACTAAGTGCATTTTGTCAGGCTAAATTTCCTCTTTTCTCATTATTTATGAGGCCACTTTATCACTTGGCTTTCCCAGTTACTTACCCTCTCCGTTGTAGGTGGGAGATGAGATTCTGGAGATTAACGGTGAGAGCACAAAGAACATGAAGCATTCCCGAGCCATTGAACTGATCAAGAACGGAGGTCGGAGGGCACGACTTGTCCTGAAGAGAGGCGATGGATCAGTTCCTGAATATGGTAGGTTAACATGCAGCAGATGCTTTACTCCTCTTCCAGTAAAGAAGGCGGATCTTTTTTTCATGTAGTAAACTCAGTGGAATAGAAAATGTATTTCCTTGAACAGATACATATTTATTTTATATTTAACAACATTTTAGGATAATAAATGTATATTTTATGCTATAGAGCCCCATGCAGAAAACTTGACAAATCCAGCTTTTTACATGAGTACAGTTATTCAGTGGGACAAAGCTACCAATAAAAATAAATACAATTTACAGTAACGTATATGTACCACTTTCTGGCAATCCTTTATAATATTGATGCATATATAGAAATCTTTTGCCATTTCTTTTTGCAGTCTTTAGAGATCTGCGCAAAATTTTTATGGACTCTTCTCTTCAGCTTCAATTTTTTGGTTTGAGGACTTAGATGTCCATGAAAGAAGGTGGATTTTGTCTCTGTCGAGGCTTTTATGTTTTGATTTGGTCTGTTTTCTAGATCATTGCACTTATGAAAAAAAAAAAAAAAAACAATATTGATCTGAGACTGTTTTAATTTGATGATTTTTATGTTAAACTCAAGATCTTCTTGTATTTCAAGGAGTTTATTGTGCAATCTACTCATTGAGCCTTCATTGATTAAATATGCCCACAGCACTACAGATCCTCCACCGTGCTTAACAAAGGACATTAGTACGTTTTCACAAATTAATTGATCTTGACACACCTGAACTGTTGACAACTTTTTGTATCTTACCAAAGTAACTTGTATTCATATACTTATTTCTTTAGAAATGTATTTACTGAATAAATCTATTCAAGATAATATTTGAATACAAATCTTATCTTTTCAGAAAGATTAATACAAATTGTCACTGCCTTTTGACTGTTAAGTTAATGCCAATAACTGAGGAGATCTGTATTGATAAATACAGTGGGATTTATACAGGAAACTGTACAGTAAAGATGCTGCATAGATTCAACAATGCCTTTGCTCTTCGGAGCTCTATTCTCTACTGTTGTATTATTTCTCATAGTAATCCAGAGGTTTATGTTGGGGATGATTTTAAAAAATTGAAGTGAAGAATATTTTTGTCTTTCACGCCAAAATCCTTCTTCTCTCAACGGATGCACTGTAAAACAGTTTGTCTGTTCTATTTGTCTTCTTCTCTCGCCTCCTCCTTCCTTCTCTCTGATCGTCTCTTGTTGCTGGGCTCTTCCTCCTCTCTCCAGCGATGATGGCTCCTCATCTCGCTGTTGGTACATTGAGGAATGACAAGATGGGAGAGCCCTGTTTCTACCTAATGGGCCAAAATCAGACAACGGTTTGTAGTAAAAAAATAAATAAATAAACAACAACAACTCTGTCCCAGTTCACTCTCCCTGTCATCTCCCCTCTCCTCACTTTGAGTTTTTATACAGCCTTCCAGCTCATCCTGACCTGCATCCTACTTTGTTTGTGTTTGTGTGCGGATGTGTTTACGCTGTAGACATACTTTATGTCTCGTCACGCTTGAATTAAACCGTACTTATGTGCCTTCTGTCAGTCCATGTAAACCGTACCCTTTTGCCACTTAAAGAAAACATTTTTTTTTTTTTGATGGAACTAACTTGATGCCACCACTCATCACATGCTGCTGCCATAGCAACCTGTGTTATTTGACAGACATTCAGCCAAATGCACATTTTAAATTTGGTTTTGGTTTGTTTTGGTCTGCCTTTGTCATACTGTTTGGAATGACCTTCTAGGTGCCTGCTGTGTCATTGATAACCGCTGCCCTTCACTTGCTGATGTGTTGCTCCTGCTTTTGCTGATGTAACCTGTTTAAAAACCTAAACTCAACTCCCAGAAATGATTTGTAATTTTTTTTAATTATTTTTGCAAAGATTTAAATTTTAATCTGGCATATCAATCTAGAACAAGCTGCTTGTTTATTTGGAAAACATGCAGCATTTTGAAAGAACACATCTTTGCATGATATTCATAGCTGCATTGATTTGTGTTGTGCCAGAGCAAGCAATCACATAATGTAACAGAAAAGTCATCTGTGCAAGATACGGTAAATGTAACTCATATCTATTTGTACTCATCAAATCCTTTTCCTTTTTTCTTTTCCTGCAGACGGCAGCAGTGACGGGCACCCTCCCGCACCCAGGGCACAAAACACTGCGGAAGTGAGAACGTTGGCACCAAAAAGCCGATACCACACCTCATTGGAGTCCAGTTATCCACCAGACCTTCACAAACCATCACGCCTGGAGGAGGCTGCACGTGGCCGAGGTATGGACAAAAACAGGGACTGGGCTGGCTCGGATCTGATGGACTTCCACGGCCGGCAGTTTAATCCCCATCATCATCACACCTGGAATAACAGTCACAGTCAAAGTACCCTCCGACAGCAGTCTCCCGACAACAGCAACGACAGCAGCGCTGGCAACAAGAAGAGCCGAGGCCGCAAAGTCAAGAAGTCTGAATCAGAGAGCGGTATCTCCAAGCTCCTGAAAACTCTGAGGAAGGACAACTCGGGAAAGAAGACTGCTGCTGCCGAAAAACTGCAAGGTCGAGAGCTCTCGAGCAGCAGTTCTACCCTGGACAGAAGGTATCAGTTGCACCGTCGTGGCTCCCTCGATCGCTCACCAACCAGGAAGCGCAACTCGTCTCCAGATCGTCGGCGGGCGAAATCCATGGACCGCAGGGCAGAGCGTGCACACCGGGACCACACACCGGAGAAGGAGTACGATGATGGAGGTTTCCTCTCGGTCACCCCTGAGCGGAAACTCTTCGAACGGAAGCTCCTCAAGGAGTCCCAGGTAGCTGGACGAGTGAGTGAGTCGTCCACCCCGGACCGCGTCAACAACAGAGGGGATTCTCTCCCCAGAGGCCGTGCGTATGAGAAAGCTACTAAGAATGGCAATCTTCTGAGAGACTCTTCCTCGGAGAGGAAAGAGGAGAGACACCGGATGAACGGGACAATAGAGAGGCGATACAGATCGGAGCGGGACTCTTCCCCTGACAGCAACTATAGCCGGGATGAGCTGAACTATGCAGCAGCGCCCAGACTGAAGGACTATTACAGTATGATGAAGAACAACGCTGGACACAACAACGCTACCTACAACAAGACAGGACCCATCAATAACGCCGGAGGCCGCAGCTCAAACCAGATCCCTGAGCCCAAGAGAAGGCTGTACAAAGATAATTCTAAAGACCTCAGTATCTAGAGGGAGGAGAGTACCCTCACTGCTCTCTCCTCTGTCCGTGCAAACTATGTAACATGCACTGGAATTGGACTTGTAAACAATACTAACTCTTACTCTTCATTTGGTTGAATTGTTTATGAATTGATTTGATTGACTAAACTACTTGTGGTCCCATCTAGAGATTTATAAAAACAGCAGGAGTACAATCCCTCTATCAGTTTATACTGGTTGTGTTGTCATTGTTCTTGTTATTTTGAGCATAACAGAGGTTGTTGTACTGTAGTAAAGGTATTGTATGTGCCTGCATATGAAATCAGTGATATTGCTTTTTGTAGGCATTTTTGACTTTAAATATTTGTTCCCTTCAAAGGTCTGAATAATGCTTCCATTTGTGGTAAATCCTAAATCTTGAGCTTGTTTTTGAAATTGCTTTAGGTGTCCTTTTCACTCCTGAATTACCGACACGATAGCTGCTGATGGTTCACAAGAACTGTGGAAGTAAAACAAAGCTCTACATTTAAATTGGATGGTGAAACTAGAGCATTAAATTATAAATAGTAATAATATATAAAATTTCTAATTTTGCTCTATTTATTTTGAATTTCACTCACATCTTGAGTGAGCCTAATTAAATCTTTAAGGGCTGAGGTGGAAGTGTAGGCATGCTATACTTCAGTTTGTGTTGCATCATTGTTTGACAGCCCATATTATTCCTAACAGAAATTATTTTTAGTGACTCTGAGGCCCTTTCTACACTAACAGACGTTTTCTGCTGTGCTTCTACCTACCATTCATAAAGTTTTCGATTAAAAACTACAAATAAAAAAAGCACTCTAAAGCAAATATTTGTTAAATCTTCCTCTCCGGTGGAGGATATAGGAAACAATGACCTAGAGAAACACTTTACATAGACCTGATACACATTTCTTTTCTTTTAACCATGGCATCAATAGAGCCAATTAAATGTGTCTTTTTTTCAAAAGAAGGCAGAAGCTAAAGAACATATTTTCTAATTATTATAGCTTTTCCTTTTCAAATATGTTCAGCCTTATATCTCAGAGTAGATCCATTCATTCCATACATTTTTGAATAGATCTTAAGCAGTTTAGCTTTGATTTGAGTTTTTGGTAATCAGAAGGTGAGTTTTTGGTAAGAGAAAGTGAAGAATATGAAAAAGTCCAGTGTGAGCTAGAAATGTGTTTACTCTGGATATGTGGTGATTAACCAAAATTGTGAATTAGAATCTGACTTTTCAATTGCCTGCGGTTCCTTTCTGTGCTAAAAACTGTGACAACAGGGGGTGCTTATTCTTTCCCACATTGCTCTTGATTTGTCGGGACTCTCCTCCCATTCAGCTTCAAATGTAAGCTTAAGAAGATCTGAGGGCAAAGGATAAACTCAGTGAAAGGAAATGTGATCCAGTTGTTTGGAAAGAATCTTTATCCTAGTGCCGCTTTAACCAGGATTAATATTTTTAAATTGTCATTAATGCTAGTATTTTCCCCACCTGCTGGCAAAGCACAGTTACTACAACACTTAAAAGCTGTACTACTAGATACAGATAGATTTTTTAACAAAGGACAAAAACATTGGAAATATCTAGAGTAGTACAGCTGGGGCCTGAGACTTTTTGTTTTAACCAAATGACTAGTTTTGCCCTTCTTCAAACTGAAACAGCCTCTTTCAACTACATCCAGATCTGTTCATAAAAGACTGAGTTTTCCAAATTTCTCAAAAATCCTGTGTAGTAATTTAGAGAAGTCAGCAATTTTGCCATACTGCCAGCTGAAGCTGCCATAAAGTAAGTTTGTTCAAATATGCCAAAAAAAAAAAATCATTTATTATCCCTGTGCAAGATGCATGTGTAAGTTAAAATGTAGTGTAACAACCTTGTTAGGCCTAAAGAAACACTGTAATCCCCAACACTTATTTCTAGCCCAGTTCTCATATTTATTTCACTTATTGTTCATCCTCTGGGCCCTGACACGTTGAGCTGATGAGGTTTACTGGCATGGTAGCGTACAGTGAGTCCTGGTAGACAAGACAACTATTTCTGCCACTCTGAGCCACACTGTCACGCCACTGAAGTCTGACTGCTGCTTTTTCATGTTTTTGTTTTTGTGCGATTATTCTCTGTTTTATGTTTTGTTTGAAAACTCGAACTATATATTGGATGAACCACAACAAATGCATTGTTTCATCACTGGTGTCACTATGGTACTGTATCCAATAAAAACACAAAACCAAACAAAAAATGAGAGAGGGAGAGATAGAGTCACAGTTAGGAAGTTTGTCATCACCTGTAAAGAGATTTTCTCTCCCAGTGTAACTACAAGGAACTTGTCAAGGAATAAAATGTTGCCTTTTTTCTTGCACAAAACAGAAATTTATGAAGAACCTCTGCAGTGAGGAATGTGATATTGTGTTTATATCTCTGAAATGGACCTGACAATTTATGGTAAATATGTTGATTTACTCTGGGTCAGGTATATAAAGACATTTTAAAAATGAAAGACTGTATTTGGTCAATCAACAGCTGTTAAATGGTCTGAATCTCTCTATGGTTAGCCTGCCTTTGTATTATAAAGCACTTGTATGCAGTCTGTGTTCTTCAAGCATTATTTCTTGCAGTGTGCTCCAGACATAATGCTGTCTCTGTGTTGATAAAAGCAGTACATGTATATGGGCCAATCTTTTTTTATATAACTATGCATATATAAATACTACATTGTCCATAGCTTTATTTGACCCATGAAGCTATACATAACATTAGTCAAAGTAAAAGTAGATGTGGACTTATCCAGCTTCTTTTCCTTCAGATGGATTACAATGTATATGTAGCTATCAAAAGAAGTCTGTGGATGCTATTTTTATTATCAAATAAAGTTTTGCATACAAATTCAAAAGGATTTCAGTTCTCTACATAGCTGGTTGTCCCAGGAGAATTTTTTTGTTTTTGTTTTTTTTTTGTCTCTTTCAGTGAAAAAGAAAAAACACACTAAATTTATCATGAACTGTGCCATTTGTGTTATTGGAGCCCATTGAGTAGAAATTACGTTGACATTGAAAACCCTTTTCTTCTGTCTCTATAGTTTTTTTTCTGGGGCGTTGCTGCTGAAAGCATTACATTTACTTTCAAATGGATGTATCATATCCAACACTTATCATATATAAAATCCAACTGTTAGATCATTTTTTGTTAAAGAGAAACTTTATGCAGTTCCCACATTTGAATTGTACTGTAAAATGATAAGTAATGAGTCATTTTCACAATAACTCTTTGGATTTGAAGGTTCTGTTTTACTTTGAGTTCTCTAGTTCAAAATTCATGCAAGGAATAAAAAGAATATTAATCTATGAATAAATAATTTATGCATGTATAATCCCAGAGCAATGAGCTCATAATTTAGTAATGAGTTCAGTTTTATTCTTGATGTCTAAAACTATGTTAAATTATGATCCGTTCTTTACTCTTCTTTAGTTTTCTGGTAAATTATTTTAGTTATAACATCAGTATATTCTTCTGTGCACCAATTGTACTTCTCCCTATTCATAACCTTTGTTTGAAGGTCTCTTTTGGTAATATAAATAAGTATTAATCCTTAATCTTTATTAACCTTTTATTTATAAGGCAGTGTTCGTAATCAGATAAACCATGTTGTGTCATGTCCATTTATATTTATATGTATCCTTGTTAAGATTAATATCCTAATCCCTTTATTATGCTAGGATCTAAAACCGAGGTGACCTGAGACTGAAATTACATTATATTAGCTTTGCAGGCACCACATAAATAATATTTTAAATGTTATTTAAAAATTTTATATGATACATTTCTGAGGTAGACACCACCAAAGCAGGCAAAAATAGAAGTAGAAATTGACTCCAGACATAAATGCATTTTGAATAGGTCATTGACATTTATTTATTTATTTATTTGAATAATATAACTACAGTCATATGAACTTTTCCACCCAAGTTGTAATTAAAACATAAACAGGATGAGTCATTTGCAAAGTGCGATTTATTTTACGTTGCCTTGATTACATGCCTCTACATTCAAAAATAAGCCAGTATCATATAGGATCCAACTGATAGAGAATAACATTTTTCCCCTTTACTCTGAGGAAATAAATACTCATAGACTGGTAAGTTGGATATTCTGTACATACAGGAACAACTCTGTAATGGGCTGACCTTTCCTGCAACTGTCTTTAGGTTGAACCAAGTCGTTTGTACAAATAAAAAAGAGGAAGTTATTTCTGTAGACGTTAGCCTTCAGTCGTTTCCCTGGGGGAGTGGAAGTCTTCTTCTTGGTGAGTGGATTATGAAGCCTGTGCCTGTTGCTCCATTTACGCAGGAGACACAGAGCTGGAGGACACAGAGGAGGCCTCGGTTTTGGAGGCAGTGGTGGATGCTCCCTCCTCCTCTTCGAAGGGATTCTTTCCGCAGCACAAGGTGGTGATCATGCAGTGGCGGAACTGCTTGTTCAGGCAGATGTAGATCACTGGGTTGTAGATGGAGGATGACTTGGCAAAGAAAGCTGGGATGGTCATAAAGAGAGGTCCAAACTCAGAACCTTGATGTGTGAAGATGTACCAGGCCACACTGGCATACGGTGTCCAAGAAATCAGGAAGCCGATGACCATGATAATGACCATGCGGGTGACTTCCCTCTCGGCTCTCTGGGTGGTCTCAGACTCCTGCTGGGCGGCAGCAGCCTCCTTGACGGCGCAGAGCAGACGGCCATAGCAGAAGAACACAATGAAAAGAGGAATGCAGAAGTGGCAGATGAACATGTAGATAACAAAGGACTCGTTGTTGAAACCCTCCGCACGGGTATAGTAGTCGACTCCGCATGAGCACTGCATGCCCTCTGGGATGTAACGAGACCAGCCAACAAGAGGGGGGGCAGCACAGGCATTGGCCATGATCCAGGTGAAGACCAGACCCATAATAGCATGATTCTCACCGAAGCGGAAGTTGCTGATGGGCTTGCAGACAACTAGCCACCTTTCAATAGCCAGAACAACCAGTGACCAGAGACCGATTTCACCACCCAGGGTAGCAAAGTATCCTTCCAGATTGCAGCCAAGGCGCCCGAGGACAAAGTAGCCATGCATAGAGGTGTAGACCGTTGTGGTGAATCCTCCAAACACCATGAAAAGGTCAGCCACAGCAAGGTTGAGTAGGATGTAGTTTAGAGGGGTTCGCAGCTTCTTGTGTTCAATGGTGACATAGAGGGTGAGGAAGTTGATGGGGAAGCCGACGAGAATGAGAAAAAACATGTAGCAACCCAGACAAGCGTAGGCTGCTGGGTTGACAAGGTAGTACTGAGGATATTCATAAGGACTCCGGACAATACCAGTGGTATTAACCATAGGGACATAAAAATAGGGTCCCTCTGTGCCGTTCATGGTTGCGGCTTGTGGTTGCTCTCAGCCCCTCGGTGGTGTTTCTTCTGGCTGTTTGAGATTACGATGGAGATGGCCCTTGCTACAAATGGATCTGGTGGCCTCACCTGGGCTTTTAAAAGGCACATCGTGGATTATCAATTTCCAAATCTGTCAGCACAAATTGATTTAGGCCACAGTTAATATCTAATCCAGCCGTCACTGCAAACATAACTGACCACTCATCAAGATATTAAGATTACACCTGCTCATGCCTGTCTTGGGTTCAATAGATACCCACTACAAACCTTGATTGGTACCAGCTATATTGTACACAGAAATAAATGATAAACAACCAGTTTGAGTTGACATGATGATTTAAATAGTCACTTCAAATATTCTGGAAGATTCTTAAAAATCTTTAATATGTATGGTAAAATGTTGTTGATTCTGAATGCTGCACTTGCTTCAAAGAAATGAACCAGAAGAATGGGTCACTGTAGTAAATGCGAGAATATTGGCCATATCGTCCTTTTTAGCTCTATTTTCTAACTACTGGGTGGATAAATTTGAATACGTAATGTATTAAGGTGATATGTATTTGTGTAATGAGGAAGTGTCTGGGCTAAGAAGGTCAAAACCCAATATCAAAGTGTGCATAATTATTAGGGATCTCTTTAATGTGCCAAAAACAAAATCAAACTGTCTCTAAGTCTCTGTGGGATGCAGCACACTTGAAATTGGTAAGATATTTGGGTGTGATCACAAAGTCATCAGACATTTTGTAGCAAATAGTCCACAGGATTGTAACATGTTGACAAAAAAGATGCACATTTTCTGCCAAGGATTGGAAATCAAGTATGAAGCTACCTGGAATCATTATCTTCCAGTGCTGCTATATTTCAAAACGGTAACCTACTAGGAGCACTTAGAAATACAAGATGTTCAGAGCTCAAAGACGTGACCAAGGTAAGCAAGACTGAAACCTGACTGTTTCTGAAGAAGACACATCAGTTGAAGTATTTATTTGTGTTTGTCAAAATGAAAAAACATGGCAATGGGCAGTTTTCTAATGGGAGACTTTTAGTGAACAAACAGTCCTCCTCTCTGAACAGTGTCTGGGAGGCTGTGACTGCTGCTGCACAAAAAGTTGATCATCAACAAATCAATAAATTTATAGACTCCATGAATGGGAGAAAAGGACCATGGCTTCATTAGTCACTAATTTTTAAGTCTGTCATGTTTATTGGAAAATTTTAAGTTGAGTGTTTATAATTCTCCCTTAAACAGATAGAAATAATAAAAGTAAGAAGGGAAACTGTGTATTTTTTTATTTTATTGTGTAATAATTCTGATCTACCCTGCGACCTGTCCAGGGTGTAACCCGCCTCTCGCCCGGAACGTTAGCTGGAGATATGCACCAGCACCACTCCTGACCCCACGAGAGACAACAGTGTTAGAAAATGGATGGATGGATAATTCTGAACTATAAATGTTGTCCTATATCATGTAAATAAAGTAAACAAATTATTCACACCTCAGAGTCTAGTATCTCTCCTGGTGGATGGTGCGGAGTCCAGCACCGGTGCTCCCTTCTCCAATACTCCCCGAACTAAACTGCAGATCTACAAAACTACTGATGGAAAGCTTATAGTAGAGGATTAATTTTTAAATGTTCTTGCGGTTAAAATCAAGATTATGTGTCAGAAAGAGCTTGTGCTGCTTGCATTAAACACATTCGACTTTGAGTGGATTGAGTCCTCTAGAAAAGTCCTGTTAGAACCGTGTTCCAGTTCTAAGCAGCGGTACACAGCCTTCAAAGGAAACCAGAAAGCTGCAAATGCCATTAAAAGCTGCTTAAAAGTTTTGAATGCATGCAGGGGAGCTATACCACACTTTGTGTCCCACTTCCTGGATGAGCTGCCGCCTGTGACATTCAACAGCCTGGATGTCTCCAACTTACTCACAGAGCGAGGTTTGTGCCCTAAAGCATACAGTATCACGCCAAACATCCTGGGGAGGAAATGCCATATGTGCTCTGATGAGGTAAAAATAAGCCTGTTTAAAGCTTACTGTACATCCTTGTATACAGCTTCTTTGTGGTGTAAATTCAAAAAAGCTAGTATGCAGAAGCTTAAGGTTGCTTATAATGACTCTTTGATAATTCTGATCAAGAAATCCATGTTCAGCAGTGCAGATGTTTTGTATCGCACATGTCAGAACATCTATCTATCTATCTATCTATCTATCTATCTATCTATCTATCTATCTATCTATCTATCTATCTATCTATCTATCTATCTATCTATCTATCTATCTATCTATCTATCTATCTATCTATCTATCTATCTATCTATCTATCTATCTATCTATCTATCTATCTATCTATCTATCTATCTATCTATCATATTATGATAATATTATAATAACATGACAATAAAACATCATATTATGGAAGATATTTCAGCGCCTTCTGTTGTGACCATCCAACACTATTAAGCGTCATCTTTGGA